CCGTATGTTTGACACCGATGCTTTACATAATCATCTTGCGGGCCGGATTAAACTCCTTTGCGGGCCGGATCCGGCCCGCGGGCCGTATGTTTGACACCCCTGGCTTAACCCATCAAGCGTGAAATTAAGTGACTCCTAAGTTGACCATGATATTTCCTTTTGAGGAAACATGGCTTTTAGTCAGAATACTCACCAAAGAACGGCTACCCGCTTGTCGGCTGGAGTCGCATCAGGGGCCATGTAGCTTTTTAACTTCATTGTGTACCTGAGTGTACAGTCAAAACACGCATTAGATCAGTGAAAAAAAAAAACATATAATTTTTTTTTTTTTGTCCATTAAAAACTGCCGTCTTTGGCCTTACTTGATAAGTTCCACTGTTTCGGCATACATGGGAAAAGGAGACTTGGCCTCCTGGGCACTCTTCTCGAGGGCGTTGCCACACTCAATGAAAGACACCACGGCGTCCAGGTAGTAAATGGCCTTCTCAAAACGGTCCAGCTAAATCGACATGAAACAAAACAATTGTAGAGGTCAAGCATGCAGTTACACGCAGCCACCTGCTCTTTTAATTTCCCCCCCCCCTCTTACCAGTGCATCGGCATTATGTTTGAGTTTCTTGGCCTCCTGTAAGTAATGATCTGCTGAGTGGGCCCTGAAGCAAAAATATATACAGACCAGCATGTTTAACATTCCTAACTCTTGCCTATGTCAAACATTTTGAAAAGTCTCTCTTCTCATTTACATTAACAGGAAGTACTCAAACATGAAGAATAACCCTGTTTCCGACAACAATTGAATGAATCACTTTCCTTTGTATTAATGATCCTTTAAACACACTATAGCCTTGTGCAAACGCATCCAACATGTTGTCTTTTCGGATGCATTATGTCGTCTGAAGCGTCTCACCTGTCTTCAAACGGCAGCTTGGATCTTTGCGATTTGGAGCCGTCGGTGGAGAGCGGCGGCACAGCCAGCTGGTTATCGCAGCCCTTTGAGGATTTCTCCTGTGGGAGGCAGCAAGCGAGAGGGGATAAAGTTTCAGGGGAGAGCAGCCTAATGTTTGAAGCGATGGATAAAAGGGGGACGAACGAGGGCGGGGAGAAGGAGTGTCGCATGGATATTTGCCACACAAATATTTCTGTTCATTTGTTATTCAAATCCTGTCACGGGAAAGGATGCAAGTTTCCACTGAGCTTCCACAAAGTTACTCACACTATCCCCACCAGGTGTCACTTCCACCCACCTTGCCATCTCGAGTGCTGCGCCCCTTGTCCTCGCCTTTTCTGTGCTTGGAGGTGGAGGTGCTCTTCGTGCTGTGGCCTCCTTCCTTGCCGCTGCCGGCCCCACTGGATAGTGACGTGGAGGACTGGCTGACCGTCCTCTTCCGACTCGGATGCTCGGCTTTCGGCGTCCGCTGGAGGCCCGCCATGGACGGAGAGGGCACCGGATCTTCCTTTTTCTCCAAAGACCTCTTCGATCTGATGGGATGCAAAACGTCTCAATGTCCGCGATGGGCAACCAAGGACAGCAATTGATCTGACCCGCAATGCAGAGTCCTCAGGAATGGCAAGAACGTCTTGAAAATTTAAATACAGCATGGAATGTTCACAGCAGCTTCCATTAAAAACTCTTACTCTTTACTGCTGCTTTTATGATGCGTTTGAGACTTTTCCTCCAGCTTGCATCGCTTGCTGTCTGGCTTGGCTCCCTCCTCATCATTCTAAGAAAAACGAGAGCGATGACTTGAGGTGACACAAATAATACCGCAACAGAAGTCAGGTCGAATAGCTGAAAAATTCCCAAACCTTGTGCTTCCTCTTGGCCTTGCTCAAGCTCTTTTCTGAACTTTGCTTGCTGAAGTCTTTGCCATCTCTGTCCTGGGAGTCATCCCGCTCCACTTTTATTTCTGCAGGCTCTTTGTACGGCCGTCCGGGGATCCTCGATAGCAAGTTGAGATCTGTGGTAGATGGGAAGGATGTGGTTTAATTCACTTCCAGAATATAACGGGAATTTAGGAGAATTTTGATGGATCTTAAAACATTTCAACTGACCTATTTTGACGATCAACACTTGCGGAGGTTGCCTGGAGGTGTAGCGCTCGTCAGGCTCACTGAGTGGAGACAGCAGCTCCTTCTCCTCCATTGGTGAGAACGCGCACACGGGCGTCCTGATGCTTTCGGTGTACTTTGGCGTCTGCGAGGACGACGGGATGCTGTCGTTGCCCTCAGAGTCCGACGATGAGGAGTCTGTGTCGACAAACTCTCGAGACTTCTCGCGAGTCGACTTGGAGCACGTTTTGGCCTTGCGCTTGTCTGCTGCGGCGGCGACAGCGGCCGCGCTGGGCCGCGGAGAGGATTTGGGTTCCTTTTTGATGCTGGGTTTGCTGGAACCCTTTGTGGCTGCTTTGGGTCGATGAGGGGGGATCTCAGGTGCTGGCTCGCTTTCCACCCTCAGGCCTCCTTTGGGCTCCTCCACCACCGGGGGCTTTTCCGACTTTTTAGGTTGTTTTTTCCCCACGGGCCTCCGGTTCCCTGTGCTGCTTTCACTCTGGGCTGGGGATTTCTGCCGACCACGGCCGCTCTCACCGCCCTTCTGTGCCGCCCGAAGGTCCCGACTTGGGGCCGGTGTCGAGGAATCTTTCGATCCCCCTCCCTGGCTACTATAGCCACGTCCTGAGCTGTTTTCTCTTCCCTCTTTTTTACTCTTGGTTTGAACATTGTTGTTATCCAGCGGTGACGGTGGGGCTGCCTTCTTGAACCAGTTGTCCAGCTGCCACTTGTTGGCCATTGGTTGTTCAGGCTATGACAAGGAATACACCAACATGAGCGATTTGACTTAATTTAGTGAGAAACAGGCCTACACCTGCGGGATGTTGGCATGTTGTAATAATGAAAGTGAAACCAGAAAACAAAACAAAAAAACAGGTTAGTTGAGAGCAAGTGTGGGAAAACGATCGCTATTGCATTATTAGATCTCATTATATCAATACACCAAGATAGAGCGTAGGGATGGCAAAATAATGTCTAGTCGTGAGTTGCAAAAAAATTCCCAACCCGTGAAGGAGCACAGTGACCACTCCTGGAGCAGAAGCAGACATACTTGGGCCTGACTCCGCTTATGCGCATGTTCAGCGGAACCTGAAAGGCTGGATTTGCACTACAAGGTTCAAGTGACACATTTACAATTTTTTTTGCTCACGTGGCATTGTTCAATCTTTGTAGAATAGAGCGCAAGATATTGTACAGTATATAGCGCCTCATCAAACTCACGACCCTTGCAAATGTCGATTAAAAAAAAAAAATTAAAAATCAGATCCACATCAGATATGTGCTTTTTATGATTGATAAATGATATTTTATTTTAACTTTTTTATGATTTGTTTTTTCAGCCACAAATGCTCGTAAAAGAAGCTTGTGAACATTGGCCAAATAGGTCCATAATTAACAGTACTAAGGCTGTTACGCTAGAATATTTTTTATTCACCAATCATTCTTGTTTTGGTATTGTTTAGCGTTAAAAAACAATTTATAAACAATGAAGGAATATGACTCAAAAGGGATTGATATTGTACTTACCATATTTTTAAAAACTGATTTAGTTACTGGTTCGGTCATTGTTTTCCAAAGTAAGAGCACATGTTTGCAAATGACTTGTTTTGATTAAATACAAAAGGCAAATAATTTGCTTTTGTGACGGACTACACAAATCAGGGAATCATTAATTTTGAGAGGCTGAAATCAGAAGATGTGGACAAATATAAAGCTTCTTTTAAAGTGAGAAGTGCCAAAAAGCAACATGGTACACCGGGGATCTATACGGTTTATGACAATCCCGACATGTGAAGCATCGAAATTACAAACGGCATTCACTGTAGGTTACAGTAAGTGATGAATTTACAACTTATGTACAAATTCCGGTGCCATTGTCAGGAAGCAGGAAGAGGACGCCATCATAAATTAAGGACTCCTTGTATTCCCATTTACCTCAGGAGAAGCGGGCCGCAGGGGCTCATTGGCCTCGCTGTCACTCGTGCTGCTCTCGCTCTCACTGTCTGAACCTGAGCTGCTTTCGGAGCCGCTGTGGCTACTTGAATCATCTCTCGAGTGCTCGGCTCCTTCACTATTATGGCTGCCAAGAGGTTTCAACAAAAAAAAAAAAAGACTTTTCATTGTGGTGTGAGCCAAGATCAGACATTAAATAAATCACAAATAGTGCCGATTAGAGAAAATCCATTTTACACTGATGATTGGATTATTAAGTTTTCATGTTGTGCCAAAGCTCTCACCTTGCTGATGTGTTTCTTGAGGCATTCTTGGCAGAGTCCTGTTCTCCATCGCTGTCCTCGCTGCTGCTGAGTTTGAGGTCATCTTCCAGCATACTAATTGTACAAGAACGATATGTTTTTACAGGAGATATAAATGAGAATGGAGGCGGAGGAGCAATGTTGCAGTACATACGTTGGCTGGTCATCGCAGGTTTTTGACTGGTGGCTGCTTGAGCTTTTGGAAGAACTGCCTCGCTCTGCAAAGCACAAATAACCTTGTTTAAAAGAGCAAGGTACGGATATATAAACATAAAAACATACATAAAGTGGACCCTCCAATGTTGAATGACTGTGAAGTAGTGCAACACTGAGTCAAGCCAAAAAGCGAGTCAATCAAGGAAAAATACCTCAAATGTCAGACTGCGTAGAATACTACACAGCACTGCTTTGACTGAGTTTTACTTTGTTCCGTGACCACGCTCATAACTCAAAACACTTGCATCTGAAATTATCTTTTCCCAGTGAAATGAACATAAATGCCATGAATCCATTCCAGCCATTGTAATCCCTCTGGTATGCTTGCCTTGGCCACCGCTATAATTCAGTCATCAGGAGGCTGCAGTATTATTTGTCAATTTTCATAGAGGATACAGAATAGAAAATTCCTTAAGCATTGCCTGTACAATTAAGAGACTGCCGAGGGGCCATAAAAGCATGTGTCGCCCTCCGCTGATATTTGTCCTCAAGTTTAAAATGACTATGAATGGTGTGTGTGTGTGTGTGTGTGTGTGTGTGTGTGTGTGTGTGATTACTCACTCTGTCCACTTGAAAAGGAGTGGGAATCCTGCGGGTGGAAAAAAAACCAAAACATTCTGCATTATTTTTATGGCCTTTTAAATTAATCCATAACCCCTTGCCGTTAATCTGTCTAATCTGTGTATCCTGAGTGTTTCAAGTCTCATCACTATAAATGTGCTTGTTACAGAGCGGCCAAAGGTTTTCTGTGCATGTGTTTTTGAAACAAGACAGACCCGAAGCTGAAAAATGATTTAACCTGATAAAAAGTGAATCGAGACACATTGAATAAAAGTCAGCTGCTGGGCAATGCCGACCTTGGTGGGGAACGGAAACTTGGAGGGCTCTGTCTTGCAGGGGGTGTGGATTGCTGTCAATGGAGGGGGCCAGGACTGAGTCATTTCCTGACAGAGAGAAAACACACACACACACACACACACACACGTACAGAGGGGGAAAAATGTGCAAATGAGCCATATGGTGTGTGCATTGCGAAACTTTTCTCTTCGACTGCCAAGACTGTAGGTTTGTCCTGTGAATACAAAATAACTTGTATTCAGACCTTTATTTCTATCTTTAACATACCTTTAGAATCTCGTCAACACAGTTGGAATCCCCAGATCCCTAAAAACAGAAACAATGCCTTCATAAACAAGCTTCAAACGTTAACTTCTAACAATAAAGGACAACAAAAAACAACAACTTAAAATCAGTTCAACGGGTGCTCTTTCAAGTTTAGAACAGTGAGTCTTTTTGAGGCAGCATGTCCACAAAGGGGGGAAATTCCAAAATTCCCTGAACATTTACAGAAAACTTTTCTGCCAAGTTTAGCTGGGGAGTTTTGGAAATGTTCAAAATGTTCAAAAAAAATGGAGTATATGGATATTCATTGGAATAAGTGAACATTGAGGCATTTATTAGTCTTAATTGCATGTACATTTTGACTACTGCAGTATGGCCTCACTTTAAGGAATGCATTATTCTTGTGACAATATCAGTCAAGCCATACCTCAACAGGCTGCGAAGGGATCTTGAGTTTGGTGAGCGAGGCCTTGCCATTGGACTTCATCTCCCCCATGGTGCTGCTGTGAGATTGTCCACTGTAGCTTTCCGCTTGCGAGCTCTTAGCCTCCGCTGTCTCCTGGCCGTCCATAGGCCTGACATAGGCCGTGGGCTTCTGGAGCATGGAGCCCGGTTTAGACATGAGCGATGGGGGGAAAGCCTGACTCGAGTGCTGTCCGCTGGGGAAGGAGGTGTGAACCCGTGAGGGCGAGTCCCAGTTGGCCTCACGGTCTCGCGGGGACTTGGACCGGTAGCGCTCCTTGCAGTGATGCTGCTCGGGGGCCAAGGAGCTCCGCGAATGGCTGTTGCCGCTGGAGGAGCTCAGAGAGCCCTTCGCTGGACTCGACGTGTGCGACTTGGAGTGCTCCGAGCCGCTGCTGTGCTTGCTTGACTTCTTTTCGCTGTGTCTTTGGCTACCGCTGCTGCCGCTACTGCCGCCGCTGCCCCTCTGGCTACTGTGCCCCCCTTGCAGTCCGGAACGTTTCTGAGACTGGGATGAGGAGGCAGCTGAGGCAGGGCCCACGGGAGTCCACTTACTGCTCTGACTGCTGCCACCTCCTCGTTGGTTCTCGCCGAATAAAGGCGCGCCAGATTTCTCCTCGGAGGAAGACGAGCTGTTAGAGGGTTTGGCGCTAAGCTTCGGAAGTGCCTCTCCAATTGGTTCTTTCATCTCGTCGTAATTGCCCAGCATGCTCTGAATACGGCTGGACAGTTTATCTTCTTTGCTGGACTGGAGTAGGAGACAAAAAATAAAAATAAGGAAGGAAGAAGTGGAGCAGAGGACAGTGTGATGATGGATAAAACAAGGAGAGCAGAGAATATGGTCAGTACGGAAGTTCATCCTTTCTTTTGTGATGCAAATATTGGAGGGATGACCAAGAGCCACAAGCCAATATGACATGGGCACTTGCCTACAGATGATGGGAATAACTGACCAGATCTCCACCAAAAACACCACAAATTAAAGTGTGACCGGATGGAATTTTAGAGCGAAGCAATCAGGATCAGATATGATTTGACACTACAGCTTTTGATACTGCACAAACAAGGAATATATCATTCAAACCAGATGTTGGAATATTTTTAGACTGTATAACTTACATATAACCAGTGAGGTCATCAGTGTGTGAAAATCTCATGAAGAAGAATGTAGACCGATTATTACGAAAAAAAAAAAAAAAATCCAAACAGGAAATTGCAGAATAACTAATAATAACTAATTCTATTTTTCCCCTGCCTTGGTTCTGTATTTTTGTAGAAAACTACACCGCATTGAAGGCATCAGTTGAACTGAGACAAATCAACAAAGAACAACAGCGGAATAAACTCCAGTAATTATTTGAGGAGATTTATTCAAAAGGAGACTGAAGGCAGCAGGAAAACGGCCTGCTGCCGCAAAGTGGACACAATGGTAAATGGGCTTTTCACCTAAAGTACGAACTGTCAAACTACTCAAAACTCCTCCTTATGTAACTTGCTCATAGGCACTTTTATATGGTCTTGGGGGCTAAGGACCTGACCCACAATGTTCAGATTTGGAGATGACCACTCTACCACCTGAACACTGTATTAACAGCTGACTTTGGCTTGTGATAGTTCATTCTTGCCATGTATCCTCAAATGTTGCAGCTATGACTGACCTACGGCTTGGAATACTGGTTGACCAGGTACCAAGAAATAGTGTCTTGTAGTTCCAATACCGAGTTTTTCCAGTCGACAGTGGCCAATAGCTAGCAAAGCCGTGATGTGGGGGTTGTGTAGCATAAATGCAAAAATAACCAAAGTAACAAAGTGAGGTAAAACTGCCCAAGTGGGATGCAGTGAGAGTAGGCTTGTTCAGAGCGACTGGCCTCACTCACCCGTGAACACAGATGTGAGTGTATCGATCAAAGCCAGATGTAAAAGCTTCCACTGTGGCCAAAGGTTACCGCCAAGCTGCTAACGGCTAGCATGTCACCGTTTGGGGCGGGGGGTATCCAGTTTCACATCCAACCTCAGACCACAATTTCGTTCGACAGATTTACACAGAGGAAACACAAGCTGCTATCTGAGGCAGGAAAACGCGCTGCTAGGTCATAACACTGACTTGACTACCCCCTGCTACCGTTGCTGAGGACGGTGAGCAATTAGGACTTTTTTAGCACCTTCAGAATTATTTTTCATGGGGCAGATTATATGCGGCAAACCATGAGGAAGTTGTTTTCAGTATTTTAAGTGGGGCAGTTTTCAAATGATTTAATGTCTGATCCTGTTTTAAAAACTCGTTCAACTCTAAAATTGCCTTGAGCATTAATGCTAGGAATAGAGTTTAAAACAATGTTACCAGTACAATGCAAATTATGTCACGTCAAACTGGAGTTCGAAAGAAAACAAATATGTGACCATTCCAGAGAGAGGAAAAAAATTGAAGCAGACTGTGTGGGTGAAACTACTGAAGCCACACAGTTTACCGGAACAAACATGGAGACACACACCAACATGAGTGTTGACTATCACATTCAGTGCCATTAAAGATGCTGTCTGTACTTTAATGGTGCACAAGGACCTTGTTTACAATACTAAGAGTCCACACTCATGCATCTGAGAGACTCAAAAGTTGAATATTAAATGTCAGTGTGTGAACAACGGCATCTTTGAACTGAGCTGATTCCGGCGAGGTGTTAATCGTATTTGACTGAAATTGAAGATATACTAATTAGAGCATGTCATCTAGTAGACGAGAGGGAAGTGTGAGGAAATGGGCTAATCAAGAACAAGTCAATGTTTCAACCGCCAGTAGACCAAGAATGATAATGCTCAAAACTATGCTAACAACAAATTAAGGCGCTTCGCTCAGCTGTGTGAGGGGAAGAAAAACTCCAAAGAAAGAGACAGGGCCACATTTTGTATATAAATGGAACAAAATCCATAACATTTCAGCTATTTGATTATCCATTTTGTGTAGACGCAGTGAGAATGTAGTTGTGAAACTCTCTGCCAACTGTGCAATTCCAACTTTTTTACAATCGTGTATTTTGTTACGTTTTGCCGGTATGAACAGTCAAGAATCCTTATACCACCTACCCTGCACAACAAGCAACGATACTTAAAATTGGCCACGATTCACAAGGAACCGAAACTAGCTATATTTTAGCTTTTTCATTTTAAAAGCATTTACAAATGTATTTATTTAACGAAATCTGAAGAGATTTCATTCACTTCCCTTTCATGTTAGGTTAGCAGTTAGCATGGCTTCTCCGTCTTCATGTTCTCTCTCCTCACCATGATCAGCCGCACGAGCTAGCCATCGTAGCTACTGTGATCTAAATTAGCTTAGCACTATTATATTATTGTTATTTTATGCGAAGTGTTCTGCAAAGCGCTTTGTTTCAGCAACAGCTATTGTGAAAGCGCTATATAAATAAAAATGTGTTGTATAAATTTAATTTGCATTGTGTACGGACAGATTAGGACAAAGACGTCAATGTATTTGTCTCGCCGAGGTAGTGAGAATATGTAACAAATTTGATTTTAAAAAAAATGGATGGATAGATCTGATTCATAAAAGACCATTTCCTTCTCTTCCAAATTTGATTTTAATGCCAGCAGACTACTGTTGTACATCTTCAATGCCAAACTAGCAGTGGTGTGCACGCGGTCTTTAAATGCACTACTGTGCATTGCCACTTAGTGGAGCATGTCAGGGGGAAGAAGAAAAAAGTCATGCAGCAAAGCTTACGTAACACGCAGACAAGCAGGAGACAAGATACAGGCCATAACGAACGACGAAAACAAATCCTCCGTCTTAAACCGTTGTCTTATTACATGTCGATTTGTGTTTAGCATGTCGCTGCTGTCTAACAAGCGAAGGTTAAAGACGTCAACTCCTGCAATGTTTTTCCCCTTTCACTTTCTTGGGGGCAAAAACACTGAGCTGTCACTCACCTCTGGTCGCCTTTCACATTCCTCACCGTTGCCCGAACAACTCGCTCGAGTGCTTGGGGGTGGGGGGGTGGAAGAGCTACTTAGCTCCGCACAAATCCGGTTAGTGGCAAAGATTAGATCAATGCGGGAAGCGCAAATCTTCTTTAGTGTCGTACGGCCCAGGCCGGAGCAGGCTGGCCTTCACTATTGCTCGTTGGGGCACATCTATAACGGGGAGGCCAAGGAATGAGGATGTGTGTTGTGTTTCACGCTATCACGACGAACCTGGGGTGTTAAATCTAAAGAATGGTTTGTATTGGAAGCTGACAATCTGGCAGGAAGTTTAACATACCACATCTCTTGTGTACAGCCCCCTTCTGGGCACCCTGCAGTTTTTTTTTTCAATAGAATTCAAGGTGTGAGCACTTTTGGAAATGCTCCACATGCCCTTCCATTGGTTTACAGCTCTAGCTCCAGCTTAAAAAATGTTCCCCAAAGCGTGACGACTCAGCCATGTTGTGAAATCAACAAAAAGACCAGACATGTTTTCTTTTTGTTGTTTGTAATAAAGGCCGTCTGTCTCATCATAGCTGCACATCTGATGCATACAAGGAATCGTTGTCACATGCAGGACATAACCATTATTTGCCAGAAATTCCTGAAACTACCAATTACAGCACTACTAGTTAACCATTTCTGGTTTGGACCACGTCACTATTGCGCTCTGTGTCTCCGCTGCTTGTTATTACTGGCTTTTGGATGGATTATGCCTCGAGACTTAGACGTCTTATCACAGATGACACTTTGATGCCTTTAAGACTATTCTGTGGATTGTGGCTTTTATTATATTACGCAATTGTTAAAGTGTCTCACCACTAGCGATTAGTATTGGCAATACATTGTATCTTTACTTTCTAAATATTGAGAAGCAGACAATGTAAAATTCAAATTTTCAATTTGACTGCAAAATAACTGGCTTGGCCACAGCGCACACCCACTGCTGACAGTCTATAAGTCCCACAATGAGCTGCAATGACTCACTGCTGACGCTTCACTGCTACGTGAGCAAAACATTCACTCTTGAGCAGTCATGTACATTTGAATCAATTCTACCAGGCAATTTCGTGTCGAACAGGGACAACAGTTAAAACAGCTATTTTCTACACCACATGTCCTCATTATGTGCGCTGGTGAGCTGGAACCTATCCAAACTGACTTTGGTTGGGTAAAGCCCGCCCGGACTCGAACCAGCCAATTGCAGGGCACGTGTGACAAACACGCGTTTAGATGCATAACAGATTCAGATTTGGACAATGTAATTTCTCAATAACCCTAACATGCAGTTCCCTTTCTATGGCGGAAATGTAACGCAGTCGGAAAACCATAACTGCAGTATAGTTAATATAATTAAATGAAACAACAGGGAAAAAAAGAAAGTCACAGGGGCATGTCAAATTTTTGTTACACGTAACCAGCTGATTCCGTTTTTAGAGCCTCTTAATTACAAGTCAGTGTCAAGTCATGTCATGGCAGTGAAACTTCTTGAAACGTGTCCCACTAAACGGCACGTGGATGGCAAAGAATAACTCAATCATATTTACTCGAGCTGTAAAGCAGGGTTGCCAGATTTATCTTCCTCGTTTGGCTAACATGTCGAGTAGAAATGAGCTTTTCGGACTTTGCGTCGTATTTCTAAACTGAATGAACAAGAGTTAATAAAGTGAGCTTACCACTTTGTAAGGTTCGGGGAAAAGGGGGGAATTTGCTGTAAACGCCTCTCCTCCCTGCTGGATTTCTTGATTTCTCCTTTCTCTTTCTTTCATTCGGAGCACATTCCGGTCCTCACGGTTCATGTTGCTGGAAGCACAAACAACACAAGTCAGTACTGTATATGTGATAATGCGCCACGACTGTGAATTCGAGTGCACGCATTTTAAAAAATGTAAACGGCAGTTTGACAGTAAATGGCCATTCCGTTCGGTAGACGTTATCCATTTTCCTGCTCGGAGCAAACGTTTACGGCGAAGTCTAGGACAGTAGGCTACCGCTACATACGCATCAGGAGTGAGAATCGCAGTCGAGAAAGTCGTCTCTAATAGGCTTAGGCTCGTCTAGACACTGCAGTAGCATACATTGACTGCGAGCAAGCCCCTTGAATAGATGCTCCGCGCCAGTTTGTAGACCATCGAAAGCTACTAGAGGTCTTTTTGAAAGGCTAAATGAAAAAAAAAAAAAAAGTCAATGCTAGCGATTGTTGGGTGCTTAGGGACCAACGATGACTCTTTTTAATGCGTCGTCCTTCAGCACAGCAAGTAAACCACCAACTACGTCTGCGTCCCAAAAGCATCCCGAATCCTAAACCGGACAAAAATCAAGATTTTAAGAGCTTCTCTGTACTGTAAAAGTCATCAACAAAAAGAAGACAATACTGGGTGTAAACTTTGAATTTGCCCTCAGCACATATATATGTCACATGCTTACACAACTCATCTTCTGCACAGTCTTATCGCCTGTTGTAAATGTGTCAATAGATTTGAAGAAAAAAAAAAAGGACCCGCAGAAGGGCAAGTAAAGGTCTACTCTGTTTCATTTCCTATGTGGAGTGGGGGAGAACTACTTCAAAACTTGAATAAACCTGAATATCTCGGAACATTGGTGGTATTAATGTAAAGACAATTTTCCCTGAGGCAGACAACAACAACAAAAAAAAAAGGGTCATAAATCCACAATGGACCTCGATGACTGCCACGCCCTCGCTAGCAAAGTGCTGTCACAAAATGTTCTGAACCTTTTCCGCTCAAGACCCAAATTAGTAACATAGTCCTAATTTGGTTCCTGCCCAGCACCCTATTGCCAAAACATTGGCATGTAATGTACACAAACTACCCCCTTACAGCAGATGCACATTAAAAAAGTCCTTTGCCAAGAGGCTGAACAGACAGAAGTGACAACAAACATATCTGCATGTCACGAGTTTCTGACCATAGCGTGGGTAATCCAAACAGAAGGGAGGTGGGGGCTTACTAAAGAGTGTTTGCAGTGCTCGCACATGTCAACTTGTAGCAGAGAGAAGTCAAGGAGCTGTTACAAGCACAATGCTTGGACAACAGTGAGCTTTGAAACAAAAAAAAACAAGAACAACATCCAGCCAGGCGTGTCACCTCTCGGTTTAAATCCTCAATGGCTTGGGCTCAGCCAAGAGCAACAAAGATTTGACGTCTGTTGACAGAGAGCGCTTGGGCGGCCGCCTCCCCATTACAAAGCAGCACGCCGGGATTACTTGAATTGTTGCTGTCGAGATGGGAGGAAGCAGATAGGTTTCAAGCCTTTTTAAGCAAGGACGGCAAAGGTCTTACAAGTCGACACTTAACATATCCTAAAAGAAATGCACTCGACTTTGGAATGAAGCAGACAAATGGCCGGTTCCCAATAAAATAGTTATTACGTGCGTGTTCATCCGTAAGATTCTTGATTTCACAACCGAATACTTTTAACGGGCATTCCGCGTCATTGGCAGCAGACTAAATGAGTCATTTAGGCTTGGCAGCACACACATTTACTGTCCACAAATAGTCTTCATGCAAATAAAGCCCATAATGACCACTGGGATGTGTTTGAAACACCCAATTAGTGGTCGCTTTATCGGTGTAAATGGAAATGATTTGGGCTAGTCCGATGTGCACAAGCAACATAGCATGGTTATCTCTCACTCTCTCCGTTTAGCGTTATCAGCTTCAATAATGATTCGTGGTGAATGCATTGTCCTGTCCAAGTCTAAGAACTACAAGCCCCTGGCGTTAAAGATAGGGACGTACCAATTAATTGTCCGGCCGATTAAATTACGCACCTCAAAACACCGGCGAAAATAATCTATATAAATATCAGTCGATATTTGCCGACTGTTTTTACCTTTACGCACCCAAACCATTTATAGCAACGCAAATTAGACATAAATGAGTTAAATATAACCCAATCAGCTAATGGTAATTCCAAAACATATGACAAGGATTACTGTGCTTATAACTTCATTAATTAGATGAATGGTGTTGTGCAATGCATTCTGGGATTTAATTTTTTGGGAACAATATACTTACATTTACTGTGGGGAAGATGTGCAGGTCGGCCCATGAATAGAAAAAAACCTGTGTATAATTTATAGCCACTGAAATGTGTTGGGTGGGTGGGGATTATTTTATGCATTATACTTTTTCACATTGGTCATCTGAAGTCAACAGCGGTACGGTACATAAACAACAATAAAAATACATTTTTACCTTACTTCTTAAATGAGTTTCAGAATCCGTACTTTCACCAATCTTTTATTTTACACTTGACATTGGATGTTCGCATTTTAACACACAAGTACACAGTGCGAGTACTGTACCGATGTCACCTCTGTGAACTTAGGTGTGAGAATTCGTCGCTGCGCGCCACAAAAAGGCACGCTCAGTCCCCGCTGAACTTTCTGGTTTTCATTTAATTGTTTGCCATTTGTGGCTTAGAATTCCTTCATACAAATATTAACTGTGGTTATCACTTTACTACGCCATATTCCTAAATGCACGGACGGACTGTCATAAATTAGGCATCCCCTGCAAAGCTGACTATAATCTTCGAGTTTCATCAACTATAACAAACAGACGTTTTCGTTGTAAATGGAGCTTCAATGCAGTCATAAAATATCTGCGGCTCAAAGCATTCTTTTAAATGTGAGGTACTGGCAGTGCTTGTTTCATGTGAGAGAGCACATGGTACTACTTTAACACAGCAAAACGAGGAACAACATAATGAGCCCAAATGAGTCATCTAAGATGCACATTTCTGTGTCATTTAATGTAGGATTCTGGAATTACGGATTCGCTGGAAGCAACAACAACCAAAAACACACTGCAATGACTCCATGTTCCACTGAAACTGTCGGAACATTTCTGCCACTTCTTAGCATGTCGGCTTCCCCAGAAACGTAAGAAAAAAAAAAAAATGACACTGTGACAGGTCAAGCTGCGTAAACAGCACATAGGGCGATAAGAGGTGGAACAAAATGGACGACAACAGAGTGAAAACTTCAAGTGACCAACGATGAGAGTGATGAAAGACAGATAAAGGGCATATGATATGAAAGAAATACAGCACATCTGATGCAACAGCAAACTAAACCCCTCCCACCTTGTGCTTTCAACAAATATCCAATAAAAGACAAAGACAAAAAAATTGCAGAAAAATACATCGCTCCTGACTGCGCCGCCGAGGCTGCCGTGAGTACGTTGATACATCATGTAAATGTGAATAAGCCTGTGAAAGTCCAATTTGAGCTCAATGTGTGAACGGGCAAACTGTTAGCATCGCGCTTTACAATCGAATGCCCTCAAGGCAACAATCCTTTGTAAGCTCATCTCAAGTCCTTTCGGCTCTCTCAAATGAGCCACTCTCTAGCTTTTTATTAGCTCAGCAGGGGTAACACCCCGACATACACTATTAAAGGAAGTCCGCATTTGTATTTAGGCAGAAAATGAAAGGCTCGTGGCTCATCCGTTAACTGACTGCATGTATCGATTTAATAAACAAGCGGAGTTGCCGGAATTTGCATGTGATTCAGGGTGGCAGCTTTTACATACGTTAGATTGTATACATTTATATGGCCATGCAAACCACAGCTGAGTTAATGTCTTTACACCGATAATAAAACTTGAGCTCCGAATGTGATTTTTCGCAGCCATGTGTAAAAACAACAGAAAACAATGCTGCCGGAAACCGGTCTTTAACTGACATCTGCGTTTGGGAGACTGGCAATTTGGGAGATTTTCCATCAATGGGAGACATTCCATCAAAACACTATAAGGGCAAATTGGGAACCTGCGTGAGTTAATTATGGATACAGGAGACATGTACCCTCCAGTAATTATATTGTCTCTAGTTGTGTTTCTGAGAGCGAATGGTTGTTGCTTGTCTCTGTGTGCTCTGCGATTGGCTGGCAATCAGTTCAGGGTGTACCCCGCCTACTGCCTCAAGTCAGCTGGGCAAGTCTGGGTGAGGATAAGTACTCTGGGTATTATGATTATTGTTAGATTAATTGAAACGTTTGCATAAGAGCACGAAGAAAAGAAAGTTGTGCGCAGCCGCATGGGATTGACTTGCATATTACTCCGGCTGCAACTCACGATTACCGTAATAATTGATACATCTGTCATTTTGTCGATGAATTGGAGAATAACAAATGTAATTTTCATCCAACTTAAAAAAAAAAATCTTCAAATTGCCAATGCAGAAATTGCACAAACATTCATGATGATTCAGTTACTGCGTTGGTCCATCACATGTCAGAAAATAGGAAAACATAATGACCATTGTATACCAAAGTAAAAGCAAATGTTTTATTTTGTTTCAACACAAAGATAATCGGTCTCCTTACAAGGAGAACTCCAGAAATAGGAGAATATTTACTGTTGAGAAGCTGAAATTCTGAGGATTTTGACACCTTGAAATTACAAAAACGGTCTGAACAATTCATCGACGATCAAAAATAACATGTATTCTAATTATTAATTTGATAATTGATTAGTTGTCGATTCGTGGCATCAGTTGAGATACTTCCAATGTTGTATTGTATTTCATGTTGTAAATCAATTGTATTTTACGTGGATTTAATTCAATGGTTTCGCCTAACACTTCGGAAAACCTACCACGGCACTAAAGAAACTGCATTTATGAGACAGGAGAATCCACCTGTTGAAAAATAAGTCTCAAAGATGGAAAATTGTCAAAATCTTATCAGTCTCATCTTATCACTGACAAAAGGCACACCCTTCCATGATGAAATTGGTTCGAAATGACACGTTGCTTGACTTCCGATATTGCTAAGTTTCCAGTCATTCCGGAGGACCCAACGGTTGTGTGATTTGTACATAAAAATTGTTAATATGTGCCAAGGAACAAAATATCAACTTGACAAAGCACAACTACTGGAGGTGGGTGACATGGGCAAATAAATATATCTTGTTATGATAATAAAAGCTGACTTGACTATTTTCATAAAAAAAACAAAAAAATCTGATCATGCTTGGGACGTGGAACCACGACTTGTTATTAAGAAAGTAACTATAACTGGGGGAACATAATACTGATACCTTCAAATTTTTTTCAATCATTCAATAAATGAAGTTATTCATGAGTACTTTCTGCAATGACGCAGGTGGGAATTGTTGTGTGTGTGTGTGTGTGTGTGTGTGTGTGTGTGTGTGTGTGTGTGTGTGCGCGTGTGCGCGCATGTGTAAACGTGTAAACACAGTCAAAATATTTGTCCATGACAGACGCGTATTTTTACGGCATCATGCTTACAGCAGCAAGCTGACAAAGATCCCAGAGTTGTCGGATGTCACGTCTTTCTACCATTTTAAATCGCAAATCGAAAGGAGGAGCACAATTTGTTTGCGTTGCATTGCATTTATTACATAAGTGGCCAGCTCCATTTTATTGGAATCACTCTGCAGTGCGTTGAAAAGGTCAAAGTCTGGTGAGCTGAAAAGCCACTTCACTCTGTTCCTAAATTAATCAGCTCATCTGTCGCAGGGCAACTCGCAACCTACCAGCCAGGTCACCTCTTGTACAAGAGTAAACATTGTATACCCAAGAAAAAAAAAAAAGGTGACCAACATATGGCTGTAGATCAGCTCTGCGAATACACCACTTGAGCTTCTGTCACTCCTCAAACCTTCACTTTTAAGTTCTTTTCTCATATCTTGTCAGTCAACGGGAAAATTAAGTGAACATTGCGAATTTCAAGTACAAGTGCCTTACCCTGCGTGAAAGGCCATGGCCCAAAACACTGAGACATTGGAAGGAAGAAGGTTCACCGGCGATTCACAAGTAGTCCTGTCATGGCTTGTCAGCCCAAAAAGAGTGTGTCACCCTCCCCCGTCACTGAACGCTCCTTTAACGCTTTATTGGGATCCACCCATCCATAAAGAACTTTTTACACGACACTTTTACACCTTTCAGAAGTATGGTGTATTTCCTGAGAGTTGGAGACAAATCTGACTTGGGATAGAGGAGGTGACTGCTTGTCTCGGGATGTACCACAAAGGCAAACGGCGGGGGTGTTCGCATTGGACGTGAGGCTTCTGGGGCAGGCGCAGCTTTGTGCTTCCGTGTGTGTGTGTGTGTGTGTGTGTGTGTGTGTGTGTGCGCGCTGTTTTGTGGTTACGCTTGTGTGGAGAACAAGATGGGAAGAGAAGGGGGTTAGGATAGTGTTGGACAAACAGCAGGGAGAGTTAATTTGGCAAAAGCAGAGAATTGACGGATGAATGAAGCGTCGACATGTTAAGATTTAGCTCCTAATCAAAATCTAATGTTCCACTTGTCAGAAACAAAGCGGCTGTTTACGCGACACTCCCTTTAATGTTCGTTTTCATGGTTTGCTTTTTTGCCCGAAACATTGACATTTGAAAACGAGTCAATCGCTTTTGACGATAACAGCCTGTTGAAAACGGCACTACTGTATATAGATGACAGCGTTGCTCATCTCGCTATGCCAGCAAAAAAATAGTGAAAGGCAGAGAAATGAAATGTTTTTTCCACTTGATTACAGAAGGTACACTTAACCTTTGTATCCCATGTTTGATATGAGAAATTGTGTATGTTAATAAAGTCCTCCAAAGACAAAACATACTTTTTATCGATACAGTGACATGCTGTACTGTTATTTTGCACAGTAGTCTTTTGCACAAGTCAGTGGCCTCAGTGCATGCTTGCTGGTGAGTAGGACTTTTTAACGTGATATCAATCTTAGATGTTCTCGATGCACTGTCAACACCGCAGGTTAAAATAACCAATGAAAAGCGATTTCACTGCGTCGGGCCACTCCTTTCTTTTGGGAACTGAGAGTTGGCTGCTTGACACACGGGCTCCTTGGCACAGTGGCACATCAGATGCCGAACAGTAAGAACCGACATTTATTTCTCTGTCCCTTTCATACAGAATTTACTGAAGTGGGACGTCAGTGTTCACACAGTCGATGCAGCTCAGTGTCAAGTGAAATAATTGAGATGCATCGAGCACTGAGCGTGGTGGCTAAAATTACTTCCGACACGGGCAAGTGAGTCATGTCAGGGGCGCTAACGTCGTATATGATGTCGGAAATTGACAAACTGCCCTGTCGACAATATATTGCAGTCATACTGGGGTCATGCTAATGTTGGAAAAATACGACAATAATATGGTCAATTTTGGCGCTATTCTGACTGCGAGGTGAGGACTTTCCAAAGTCTTTATTTAGATATGTGTTCATGTCGGGTGGATAAAAAGATGGTTTAGTCCGAGCAGACAACTAGGTGGCAGGTGTAGATGTCGCCAACTAGTGGTCTGGCATGCATGTAACATTCCTTTCAGTTGTGAATGGGGATCATTTTGACCATGTTGTCTTCTGTACGTAAAATTTTAAAAGACTAAAATACTAAAAGGAAGACTAAAAATCCTGTTTTTTCCCAGGTTGGTCTGATAACAAAGCTGGAAGCCTGTGATAGAGGAACCCCCCCATAAACTATGGGTTTCTGTCCACATACAAGTAATTTTGACTGCAGAAATAGACCTCTATTTTGCTAGCGAGAGATATAAAACCAGATAAAAATGTGAGAGGGGTGTCGCTTTGTGAATAATATCACAACTAATGAGTTTTGAGAGAACTATTTTACATCAGTGTGCTCTGCAATAAATTATAACTGCCCCTTTGTACCAAGCAACATTTTGGATCGTTACAAGGTTGAGCATAGAATTATGAATGGGATATTCACAGAAAAAACATTATTACAAATGTGTTGGAACACCCAAAAGAAGCAAAAATCACACCAGCACATATAGAGTTAAACCCACCATGGGATGTAAGGCTCATGAGTTATTACAGGGAATTCCTTCGGGCAACATTCTGCACTAATGCCTGACTGGTAAGATTAACAGATGTCAAAATGCAAATCTTTTATCCTCTAAATGCAACGCCTGACTCCACAAAGACATCCAACCAAGATTTGACAGGCGGCGAGAACATTCACCCTAAACGGAGGGAGGAGTGAGGAAGGGAGCAGAGCTCACCTCGCACCCTGGAAATGGAACATTCCGCCTTGTGCCATAGAAGGACATGTTATTTTACACCACAAGGCCTCTCCTCCGTGTGATGTCACTCCGCTCAGCTCAGCAAGCCAACCGGGGCATGTCTTTCCGTCAACAAGGTCCCTCCCACCCCGTGTCCCTCCCCCCAACTGTGCCCCAGCACACGTGAAGCACTGGTGGAGCCTCTTAAAGGCACAGAGCGCCATTTCTGCTGGTATCAAACACACAGTGTTTTTCATCAGCGACATTGGGGTGGACACCAAGTGACAAATGTGTTATCAGTGCAAGTCACAATGTTTTGATCTGCTCCCAAACAACAAAAGCGGAACCACAAAACACAGACTGCCAAATAAATGGAATGTTGTTCGAACTTATCCACAAGACTTGACTGAGAGTTCATGTTAATTTCTACTTAAACGTGCCTGACAAGAATGTTAAAATGTCTAGTTACTTCACATACTACCTGTACAGTTGTTGATTTTTTTTTTCCCAAGCCCTTGAAAAGGATTGCGGTCTCCATCTGAGGTAGTACTGTGCATAATATGCTCTCCTTTCGAGAATCTGTCAGGTCAAAAAAGGAAGAAGGTTACAGGAAATGATGATGACTGGACTGGAAAGCCCTCTGAGTAAAAATTCAGTGGAAAATCGTGTCACAACCTATAGTCTGCACACTATCAGAAAAAGACAATTTAGTGAAGACTGCAGCAGTGTTTTTCTTTTCTTTTTTTCTTGGAAGCAACTGCATTCATTCCCCACGGGGTAGAACACAGCTACCTCCTCTCTATTCAAAGGTCACGGTTGGATTAAGTGGTCAGTTATTTTCGGCACATCAATTATACAGTATATGCCACTTACAGCGATACAGAAAGAAGCATGCATTAGACAAGTAGATCATTTTGACTGCAGACAGTATGTAATCTAGAAAGCACTAAATGACAGATGTATCATATGGTGGACTCAAAAGAACCCAGGGACATTCTTTGAATCACGAGCAGTATATGCACAAATTAATACAAACGGTGTCAGCCATATGCGCGGATCGTAAAAAATAAATAAATAAAAATAACATCATGAGTTACTGTTGAAAAATGATCCGACCAGGTTTCGGTGAAGGTAGCTGTGTTAGCACCCCTGGCACTGTGAAAACAAACCTGCTGACGGCATGCATTCCGCAGGAGTGTCCATTCAATAGCCGTGGGCCTGCCTCATCTAAACAGCTGTTTGGCGACAAGTGGGGGACGAGACCACATACGGCCACGACAAGAAAAACTAATTGTAAATGTAGCGAGGTCACGTTGCCCACACTGACGTGATGTGATAACACTCCTTGGGAGGCAGACCGTCTTTATCGATGCCGTTATTAAGAATTCCAACCTTTTGGCTGAAGGTATTGACGACTGCACACTGGTGCGATCCTTGTGCCCCGCTTCCATGCTAAAAAATATTACTATTTTTCAGTTTCAATTTGGGGTTCCTGATAGTCAGTTTACGACGGTCCTGAAATGTGACGTTTCGAGCTTAAGGATGATGCGCAATGAGCTTGTTTGTCCGCAGCGTAAGAATACATTGTCAGTGGCGCAAAAAGGCATACTCAGTTAACGCCATATTTTTTGTTTTTCTATCAATGGCCTACAGGTGTTTTTCATCCACATATTTACTGTATTTAACTTTACAAGTACATTAGTGTGGGTTAATGACAGACTAATCAAGTTTTTCCGGACTTTGCTGCAGTAAGAATGGAACTCCCGCCGCAAACCGAGGACTCCTTTAAAGTAGTTGGGACTGCTTTTATCGTTGGAAGACAATCAGAGAGTTGATTTCCTTTTGTTGACATTTCCTTTTTTTTTTTAATAACCGTGAGCATCTTTCAAGGTTACCGCTCCACTAAATATATGAAATTATAATTGGTGCCAATTAACTAATCACAACAATCCATTAATTGGCAAGTGCTCTAAACAGATTACACATGCCCATTTGGGCAGGGAGAGGCACTTGAAGGCACTTTGTGTCTCAGCAGGTGTTGCATTATGCAAAGCAGAGGGCGCCAACAAGCGTTTACAGCTCGACTCATGTGACCGTTTTTGCATCACAATACCAATTAAGCACATTAGAACATAACTCATCAAGGTGCTAAAGGTAAATCATCGGCGTTGACAACAGTTTGACTTTATTGGGAATGGGAATTTCCCGAAATGGCGTCATCTACTACAAGGGGAATGACTTGATTGGTTATGTTTTTAAATATTGGTTTAACGGGACAGGAAAAATCTTTTTTTGAGCAAAGTGATGATGACGCTCGGGGTCTCCGTGGTTGTTGGCCTTGGCTAACGTCATGCTGTTGTTTCTTGAGACTACAAACTAGTTCAGGCTGACTCAACATGTCGACAATCAATTCCACAGAGAAGAGATTCTTGAGCCGTGCTTCTCGGCTGAGTTCAGTTCAGCTTCTGACGTTTTTGTTTTACCATAGAACCCTTTTAAAGATTACCAATATAACTCAACTCATGCACTTTGTTCCCTTCAGTACCTTCTGTTGAGGTAGTAACAGAAGTCGTGGTGGTAAGACTGTCTAAAAGAGAAATTGCCATCTTTTTGCAAAAAGAGGATTATAATAAGAGCCGAAAACATTTTTATTTAATTACCACAAAGATTTCAAGGCCCCTTTATGACTGCCTATAAATGATCAAATTTGTTCACCTTTTCCCCTTTGCTGTTCTGTATAAACAGCACAAGTGAGCGGACAAAGTCGACCTGGCAACTTTCCATGGAGGTAGTAGCAGAGGCGTGACAGAGAAAAGGTGACACCGGTGTGTTGGGTATTAATGACAGACAGACATGGGAGAGTTTCACTCCCAACAAACTCGTCAGCACGGATGTGTTGAAAGCAATGTCCTCTGTCAACAACTCTTCTCTCTCTGGTCACATCAGACCTGTGATTGAGGGATGCTGTTTTCGAGTGGTTACACCACTTTCCTGGGTTTTGCAAAAGGCAAAGGCGCATTAATCTTTGGCCTGTTACGACTCTGGCCTCAGTGTATGATCCAATATCACACGAGCTGCAATGAAATCCATCGTGGACTCATAGTTGCTGTATCAAAAATTCAACAATGACAGCGCAACAATGTCAACGCAAGCTGCCACGAGTAAAATCATGTCAGCTGCACTCCAGTTTCAAGAGGCTTTTCTCCCCCCCATGACACAAACGACACATTATTCCAGCAGCGCATTGTGACACGAGTGTTAGTGGAACATGACACACAAGCCTCGATGATCTTCCGATCCTTTCCAAAGAACCTGTGTCACTCAAGCTTCTCCATTTTGCAAAACCGTGTTAGTTAGGGAAAGGGGGCAGCCATGACCTTCTTATCCAACTGTGCCAAAAGCACATTAATAGTGAAGCTCATATCAGAACTGTGAGGTCGGTTCCTAAATGTATATTTATCCCAATGTTGTGAGTCAGAAGGGATGTCACCCTTGCTACAAATAGAAACGCACAAACATATGGCTTACGAGCAAACCTATAAATACGCCTGCAGATGCGCCACAACAAGCACTCTGATACGAAACGATGAATAACCAAGTGAGACAAGCTGTGGAAGAAAAAAAATGATGTGATGGAAGCTGGTTTAGATTTAGTTAGCGTGGCTCGTGCCAATTGACTTTTTTTTTTTTTTTTTTTTTTTGGTTTTGTTTTATTACTTTGAGATGCTTGCATCATTCATGGCCACAATTTATCCACCCAGATAGAATCGTAATTGACTCGTAAAATCAGGGAGACCACACAAAAAGAAAAAAAAAAAAAAGAACAAATGTAGGTGGTCCCCGACCCCAATTTGTACACAAGTCAAAACCTACAACTAACCAACAATAACAAAGGAGTAATGTCATCATTTCAGTAAATATTTGGATCAAAAACACTTCGAGGCCATCGATATAAATACGTCACAAACAGTAAACAGTGATGTGCGATGACGTGTTCTTAAACTACTGTGCAATCGAGTTCCTCATTCATAACCTCAAAATGTCATGTGTTGGTCCCCTGTATCAGATTATCTGTAGTTTTGAGTGGCTTATTCTTATAAAATGTGAGCTATGGTATTAAGTCAAGATGTGCTGCTGCGGTCCAATTAGAATGGAACCGATTCAGCCAGCAGATATCCTTTTTGGAAAGCCTCCATCAAAGCTGCAACTTTAGACAAGTGTCTCAGTTTAAAAAGGAAGTAGGGTTTGTCAGAAATGTCACAAGAAAAGCTGAGAACAGTTTTTTTTTTTTTTTTTTTTGCTTTGTTTTGGCTGAGAGACATTTTGACTGCAATCTTGAGACGTCACAATAAAAACAATGTTTGGGATTAGGTTGTAGCCGAAACATACGGCAACCCGCAGCTTCAGTTATGCAAACATAACAAAGGCAAATGTCAGTGGGAGGGGGAGCAAAAAAAAAAGCTTCATGGTTTGAATTTTACTTGCTATATAATTTCATATTAAGTGCTAACTTGAACTAGATAAGGTAGCTAAATGAATTTTGTATTCACAAGAGTCACATTAGTTAGAATTTGACCCCCCCCCCCACAAAAAAAAGGACGTAAATGATCACATTACGTAAAAAGTTAAGCAAACTCTCTTTTTTTTGGTGGATTTTACTGGTGATACCAGTTGTGACAAAGAGAATTTGGTGTCACAATATGTTGTCACACCACACAAAAAGCCATGCTCAGTTAACACCAAACTTGTTTTTCTATTTGACTGATTTATAGTTATGGCCAAGAAGTGTTTTTTTTATATAAATACTATACATACAGTCATCATGACTTCTATTCGTTCGTGATTGACTTACGCATGTTCCTCCTTTTGTACAAATTTGAACAGTATCGCTGCCGTAGGAATGAGAACTCCTTCATGAACGGAGGTGACCTTTTTCCACCCTTATTATGAGAGTTAATAATGTGAAATAGTTAGTTGCAACAATGCCTGTACAACAGCCTACATTCAGTCATCTTAAAAAGAGTCAATGAACAAAGACACCCAACCCCCTCCCCAAACGCACACACCCAACCAGGATGTGTCAACCGAGATAAACAAGTTGGCCCCCCTCGTCTCTATTTGTCATGCGTGCATATGACATGATATTAGGGCTGTAAAAAAATTGAAAACTAATCTAATTGCGATCCCCCCCCCTCAATATTGCAACTGCGCTTTAATAGGAGTTTATTTCTTGAGTGTTCTCTTCCCAGTATTTTTTTAACAAACACAAGCAATAAAATTAATCGGTAACACACTAAATAAATGTATAAATGTTAATAAATTTTGATTTCTATATTTTGTCCTCTTACAACAAAAACACCCCTTAGCCTTTCAGTCCATTTGCTTAATGCTAACACATCTATGACGTGGTGCTACAACCTGATAGGCAACGGGCGGAACACAAACGGTGCAGTAGACATACAATTACAAAAGTACTCTGTCATACCTATTTTCTGACATTTTTATAGACCAAGTCATTAACCAAGACGCACTTAAAACATCACTCCCTCTCATGATATTGCCTAATTGTTGTTTACTTAGTTAGATTTAAACAGCACCAAATAAACAACAGTGAAGAAATATCAGTCGGGAAAGAAAATCCATGCAAAATAAGTTTTTATCCAATGATCTGATGAAATAACCGAGAAAATAGTCGATTTTAACAATACCCGAAACCCGCAGCCTTATTTTTCCTATTTAGTCCTGAAATTTGACGCACACAACATCACCTTCTGAAGTCTGAAAATATAATTGCGAACAAATCTTTGTACAGTGACAAAGCAGATGTAATTACAATTACACTTTCGGAAAAAAAAAAAACTCATTTTTTAAAAAACGAACACTTAGACTTACAATGTTACTGCATTTAAATGGTCGTAGTTAATTTTAGAGGTGGTGCTCGGTGTGAAAAGTTTCAGAAACAATAGCTTATATAATGGATGTGGCAACTGACATTTTTCATGAGGCCAATTTCATGTGATCATGTAGCACAGGTCTGTTTTGCACCCCTCTAAAAAATTTCTCTGGCATGTTAAAAACGTGTTTGCTGCATCTATTATTAGATGTGATGCACAGTGGAATCTCCCCTGTCGCCTCGTTTTCAATTTGATGACTTTCATACAGGATTTGGATGTTTGTTACACACACGGCGGAATAACTTTAAGTGTTGATAGCTACCTGTATTATTTATAGTGACCTATCCTGGTCAATTTTGAGAGTTTTAGGGGACGGACATTCAGACGAATTTACATGCAACTTGTATGTCTAAAATGTTAGATTGCCAAAGTTTGTGTCGCCTAACCTTGAATTGGCGCATGAGAGCCGTCCGTTGCCAGCGATGGTGTAGGAATCTAGTAGCCAAACAATAAACAGACGGGGGTCGCAGTGCAGAGATGGCTTTTATGGCACACATAGTCGTTCCCTATGCTTACTCTCGAGTCAAAATGCTTCTCTTTGCGCTTGCTTGTCCGTAAACAGCCGCACACCGCTTCGCACGGACACTCACATATAGGCCATTCCATTGTAACAATGGACAAAGTTACTAACATTTTTGTCCGCAATTTGAAGCATTTAAAATGTCAGAACTTCCTTAATTCTTAAGATACTGACAAATTTAAACACCGTGTTCTTCCCTTATTCCAGCTGTTTCCGGTGACATTGGTTTTTGCTGGGGGAAAATGTCACGTCCCTACTTAGATAAAACAAAACAGACAGGTGACCAAGGTAAACGGATAAAAAGTTGTTGCAACTCTCGTTCGGGGGTCGCAAAAGCGTTTGTTTCGTTTTTGTTTTTGTTTAATACACATGAACATTGCTGCGGATGAAATTCAACGTTAAAATTCCTGTTTAAAGTTATCGGTTAACGTTGGCAAAGGGATTAAAAAAATGTCCATCGCGCCTTTAAAACGTAACGTAACATTAGACTAACATAGCAATATTTATAAAAACCATACAGCAACATTTAGCTGATGCGAAGTGCTCCCTCCATACCTGCATATAGGCATGAGCATAACACTGGCTAGCCCAATTCGCTGGTAGTTGGGAGGGGAGCGAAGCTAACGGCTAACAAGCTCGCAAAACATTTAACATTTCCGCGACCACTTTTATTAACACTCGCTGCAAACGTTGCCAACCACTGCGAAAAGCCAAACAATAAAACACACAGTTTGGGAACATCAGGCATCCTTACCTCTTGTCTTCTTTTTAGGCCCAAACCATTCTAGCTATTGGAAAGCTTCTTTTCTTTGTCTTTTCCACTTCCAATTACACGCAAAATGGACCCAGCAAAACGCCGTAACAGCTAAGACGGTACAGCCCAACAGACGGCCCCCATCTCTTCCTCGATTAGGGTTCACTTCTCGGGAGAAAACCTAGTTAAAATCATTTTTTCGGACCTTCGTTCATGTTTGGATTCCAGGAAAGAAGTGCCTCCTAAGGTAAGGCTGCTAGCTAAGTTCAGTAGTCAGCAGGTACCACAGACAGGAATGGATGCATGGAGGACAGCGAGCTTGTGTTGCGTTCAGTGCAGTCGGACACTTTATACTGCACGCAAATCCATGTCAACACAAGCGACAAGTTGCTATCAGCAGTAAAGTTCGCGCCTCTTACCCAAAATACACCTCATGTAAGTGTTCAGGTGATTAATATGTCAAATAAACAAGTATAATTTGATTTTGATTGTCACCAACAACGACGAGAAGGTGAGCTAAAGAGAGACATTCTCAAGAGGCGACGGACAAGAGGCAATACGCTCATTATTCATTGACAGTGATAATTCCTAATCAAAATGCAGCATATCGGTGACGTGCATATCTGAAGTGATGACGTCCATTCAGGTCGTTCGTCATGATTTATAAACCATTAAAAAAACATTTAAAAACGTTCGCTGGCGCGGTCAATTGAATCATTTCCTGCTCGTGATTATCTTTCAAATAAATAAATAAATAAATAAAATAAAAAGCTTTTTTTCGTCTTCAACTGAATATTCATTCGGCATTTTGGTCTTCAAAAGCCGCAACATCCTACCACAGTGGTTCTTAACCTGGGTTCGATCGAACCCTAGGGGGTAGGTGAATCAGTCTCAGGGGTTCGACAGAGCCTCTGCCATGGAGGTTAAGACACACCCAACTCAACATGTCAATTAGTTATGATACGCCCGCTGGTTCATTTTGTGCACAATTTAAAAAAAAAATTATACTTCATACTACAATTAATTGTGTTTACCTTTTTCAGTTTTTAATAAATGCGTTTTTTAATGTCTTGAATTTGCATAAAATCTGATTTTTATTTTTCACTAATGAAGGGTTCGGTGAATGTGCATATGAACTGGTTGGGTTCGGTACCTCTAACAAGGTTAAGAACCACTGTCCTAACATCATGCAGTTTCATCCAGCGTATTTATATCATTTTAGCGCCCCTACAGATAACAAAGAAAACTACAACCTAAGTCTGTGAATCAATCTAATAAATTGTATCAAATAGTCATTTGCATAAATAGGCAAGGTAAATAATTTATATGAAACATTTTATTTAACGTATTGAATATAGTAATTGAGTCTAATTTTATTACTCCATTCCATCCAATGTATTGATTCCTTGTTAATTGATCTGCTGTACAGAAGCATTTCAATAACTTAATATTGCAGAAACCTAGGTATTTTTGTTGCTTGATCAAAGCTTGTACGTTTATGATTGAAAGATTTCAAATTACGTATTTACACACAATTCACCACATCAAGAAAAAAATCCATATATATATATAAAATTAAACATTTCTGTCAAATAAAGCTGCACAATTTTTTAAACAATCTTGCACTTGCGTTGGCCTTTACATTACCTGGAACTAAAACGAAATTAAAAAGTTCATCTGTTGAGATGGGTGAATCCAAAATGAAACGTTACTGTATTACCGGTAATTTGATTGAAAAAAAATATCAGGTAAGGCTAGGCAAACTAATATATATTTTTATTTATTCTGTCTTTTAACAGTTTACATAATGCAGTTTCAGAGGTGAGGTTGCAAGCTACACAGATGAAGCTTGACAGATGAAGACGGAATAAAAATAAAAAATAAAAAAAAAAACAACCCTATACACCTCGGATAGCTTGCACAGCTGCCCTGAGCAGAACTAGCAAAGAAGAACATGTTATTAATAATCCAAAATCATCTTTTTGTAAATTTCTAACAAAACTGTACAAGCAGTTTTCCATTTCATCAGCGCTGAGTAAATGCAGGAATATAGACTGCTAAAACAAGAACATATCACACTATTACAACCATATCATCCTCATTTCTTTTTCTTCTTTTTCTGTGGAGGTCCCTGATCTGAATCGCTGCCACTTTCGGAGTCTGAGCTGTCCGAGGATGATGATGACGAAGAGGTGGAAGAAGAAGATGAGCTGTCGTCGTCGTCGCTGCTGCTGCTGCTGCTATCATCGTCGTCCGAAGATGAGCTGGAGGAATCGCTGCTGTCTGAGGATGAGTCACTGGATGAGCTGCCCGAATCGCTGCTGCTCCCACTCGAGTCTTTAGCTCTGGTAGCAAGGTGGCACCAAGTAAAGGAAACACATCAGTCCCAACAGTAAAATGGAAGTGAAATCAGAAAGGAGGATGCAGAGGGATAGAGGTGAAACGGTATGAGAATGTCACATCGCAATTATGGGTATTACTACGATATTCCGAAAAGAAAATAAATCACCTGATACTCAAAGCATTTTCAATACGAAAATAAAAAAAATAGTAACCCAATCTACCATTTGACATTAGAAGTGTTAAACAACAACAAGCTAAGTTAGTTTTCAAACTCAATCCAACTTTAATTATAGGGGACTCTTAACAGCACTGTACATAAGATCAAGCAATGATAAGAGCAAAATTTGAAATATGTGAGCACTTCACACTCTCATCACTAGATGGCGGCAGCATATTTTACATCCAGACACTCAGTTCACCAGTTGTGTCCAAATTCAAAGGAAACTTACTTCTTAGTTTTCTTTTCACTGGAGCTTTGTTGTCCTGGTCTGCGGGGAGAACGAAAACAGCTTGTAACTCATAATCACATATGTTCACGCATATTTCAGTATCAGAAATTGATCTCAGTGGGAGACAGCTCTACCTTTGTGTTGCAAAATGTGACGCAGCAGGAGTTGCCTTACCCAGTGATGCTCCTGGGTTGATTCTCAACTTCCTTCAGCTTTTTCTTCATCTCAACTGTTCTTGAGGGTCTGTGCACATATTTCCGCTTCCCGGTGCATTCATATGTCCAGTGTCCCATCTCCAAACACTTCTGACAACGCACGTGTTGTTTGTTAGCTTCCCTAAAGGTGACCGTAAAACAATACAATGAATAAAAAAGTAGTCTTCATTGTTAACAATAGGCCTTTTGAATTAATGTATGTGTAACAATTTGTAAGAGTAGCACAGTGGCTTCGTAGTTGGCACATCTAACCAATTTTTTTCTCGCCCAGAGTCAGGTAATGGTAACTAATAAGGAGAATGGCTGGCTGCATTGACATTTTGTAAATAATATCCTCAAAAGTTCCAAAGTATGTACATTTCCGCTCCTCTCTTACAATACTAGTCTAATTTATGTCAATTTTCTTCCTCTTATTTGAATAGATTGTTGCGACATTGGAAAAACAATACAGGAGAACGAATTAACAAAGCATTAAGCTATTTTTTGTTATGACAGAATGAGGTCAAGCCATTTGTGTTTTAATGCAACGGCGTATGCTGGGTTTGAATAAATGTAGCTATAACACTGTACCCAAACTAGGAAACCGAATTGTAATAACATTATTTTTAAAATTAGGATGATGAAGAGATGAATAGGCGATGCTCTTCGTTTTAAACAATGTTGAAAGACGCGGAAGACAGCGCAGCGTTTTGAGCTCCATTTGAACGGTAGCGTTGACATTTAACATGAACCATTTCAACAAAATATCATTTGGTATGAAACAAAACCCCAAAAACAGTCAGATTGTGTAAAGGGGTATTTTTTGTATAATACTCACGCTTGCCGCCTCGCAATTATTCTATGCATGGGAGTCGCCATGTTGAGTTGTACTTTACTTCTTCGTTGGAAAAATGCAGCTCGAGTTTTAGCGATAAAGTTTACCTTGCGTCCTCTTGAGCAAAGATAGTGTACTGCACTTATTAATGAACAAGCCACCTGCATTAGCATTCTGCACTGGGTGGCATGCTGTTACACTATTATGTACACAGTGCAAAATTGTATTAATTTGCATCTGTGGAATATCTGTGTCCATTGTATAATAGTACATTTGTGTACTATATTAAGTCTCACTTCCTTGACAAAATGTAATACGAATTTAGTGCCAGAACAATATACTGTGTTATATTATATGATATTAAATTACATTATCAAATATCAACTTTATTAATGGAACAAAATCAACCATAGCTGAAACAAACTGCTGTACTTTACATGAATTTACAGCATGACTTATTCAACTTAAAAATTAATAAGTTGCATGTTCAAATATATGCATACTAATAACAGGACGTACGTGAAAATATTCTAGAAACACATTCGAGGACCATGGAGAATGGCAAAGTTGTCACACCTTTCGAAAGATCCAGAACGATGTTTCTGGAAAGACCCAGATCTCGCGCGACCTGGTGACGTGATTTGACGGAGACCGCAATTGAAACTGCAGGCAGGCAAGCCAGCACAGATCGGAGCCACCGGTCAACGGTGAGGATTATGATTACAGGTTACCTTAACCCAATTTAACGGAGCCTTGAAACTACTTAGCTGCACTTTTGCACCATTGTATAACCGGAGGCGTACACGTGTCTATTGTTAACACCAGTGTACTTAACGACTCAAGTGAAGTTTGAAGACTCGGCTCGGAGATGTCTGTGGTGGGATTTGATTTGGGCTTTCAAAGCTGCTATGTAGCTGTAGCCCGAGCCGGTGGGATCGAGACCATCGCGAACGAGTTCAGCGACAGATGCACACCGTAAGTACCTTGTCAGTGAGTTATATTTCACCGTAAGTACCTTGTCAGTGAGTTATATTTCATGACAGTCAAAGGTAATGCATTTTGATTCATAGTTGGCCCCACCGGTGTCGGGGTAATAATGTTGCACGTGAACGCAGCGTTTTTTATGACTCGCTGCTAGTAGCTAAACTTGACTTCTCTTTTTAATGCTTTAAGTAACGATCCCGGTTTAAAGTTTAAATGAACGCTGTTTTGTTTTTCCCCAAATCTTACAAGTGTCACATTCCATGAATGTGGTTACTGCTCGCATCGTGTTCGCCTCGTAACCACGTTCGGCCATTCGCGCTAGCTTTGTTAGCCAAGATCATAGTTTTTATTAACTGTACATTTGGAGGCTGAATTCTGGTTACCGCTGGCGGGCGGTGCGGTTCTGTATATTTGCGTTACTAACACTGGGTGGCTCAAGCACCGCCCAACTGGTGTGTTTTGTTGTGACATTCCGCGCTTCCAAGGTGACGACTGTAGGCCATGCTTGTTGGAAAATTCTAGCAATACTTACGGAAATAACTTTTCAGTGAATAGTATATTTTTGCTTAAAATCTTCTGAGATTTAGGCATTATTCTGTATTATTCGTCATGTCGATACACGACACATTGTGATATTTCTTGATGCCTTTAGCCCTTTAAAAGTAAGGTAGCACTTTAAAAGTAAGATCATTTAGAATAATATTGTTTGACAATGTTTATGTAAATGTACATGTCAGCATGTATGATTACGTTAATGTACGTTTATAACGTTTCAGCTTATTTGAAGCATGCTTTATTATGAGAACAGTATTGATTTTTTTAATTGAGCGGAAAAATCTCTTCAATGTAATCGTAAATTAAATTGCTTCAGTATATACTACACTTTTATCATGTAATATTTTAACCGTGAGAATAATTTAATCATGAAAACTGTTGAATTAACTCTGGGTGCTCCAGGTTCCTCCCACATGCCAAAAACATGTATGGTAGGTTGATTGGACACTCCCTCCCCCAAAAAACAAAAGGAATCAATGACATTGAGGAACCCCCCCAAACATCCCTCTGGTCATGCTAGCGTAGATGGCCTGAACATGTACTGTAACTCAACTTCTTTATGTTCTCAGGTCATTCGTCTCATTCGGGCCACGCAATCGATCCATAGGAGCTGCTGCGAAAAGCCAGGTGAGCATGTTCTCTGCCAAAACTACATTCTCAGTGAACCGTGTCATGTTCATGCTTCACTCCTTGCATCCAGGTGGTGACCAACTGTCAGAATACAGTTCAGAGCTTCAAGCGATTCCATGGCCGGGCCTTCTCCGATCCTTATGTTCAGTCGGCCAAGTCCAAGCTGGTGTACGACCTTGCGCAGATGCCCTCTGGGTCTACAGGTATTAAGGTGAGATGTGCAAGTTAACCACTTCCTATATTTTTTTTCCCCTGTGCGAACGGCTTGAGAAAAAAAAAGATTATTCAAGAATGGCACAAAAATGCTGGACAAGAAACCAACATTAAGTGCAAGAACTATTTTTTTTCACAATTTAATACTGTTGAGGTACTATGTCCTGCATATCGTACCAAATCTACAAAAAAAAAAAAATATATTAAGAACGTAAGTGCAACTAACTTTTTTCTTTCCCGGACGCTTATGATCTTGTATGCTAAATGAAACACTTCCTGAATGTCAGGTGATGTACATGGAGGAAGAGAAGTTGTTCAGTGTGGAGCAGGTGACCGGCATGCTGCTGACCAAGCTGAAGGAGACGGCTGAGAGCGACCTGAAGAAACCAGTGGCCGACTGCGTCATCTCTGTAAGCAACTACGCCTCATTACCATGATATAGTAGGAGTCAATTGAGTCACCAGCTCAAGCCACAAAATGCATTAAACTAAAATTTAAAAAAAAAAAAAAATCCAAGAGTTGTAAATACATTGCTGGCTTTCTCTGTGGCTTATTTATCTTAGAGCACTTCACATTGTATGTCTGAGTACCAACTCCAGGCTCTTCATTCATGTTTAGATTTTTTATTTTTTTTTTTTTGCGGTGGGTTCTGGGCAAGTGGCTCACAGTTGCCCCTACATTTTCACAAATCTGTTTTCCTGCAGCCCTCATTGTCCTCTAGGATATCCTCAACTGCTAGAAATCCCTGAGCTATAGAGACAAGCTCATGTGACTTTTCTCTCCAAAGGTTCCCTGCTATTTCACCGACATAGAGAGGAGGTCTGTCATGAATGCCGCCCAGATTGCCGGCCTCAACTGTCTGCGACTAATGAACGAGACCACAGCTGGTACATAAACACACACCCCTTTAGTCGTGTAATCTAAAGTTTAGGGTAGGCCAGCATAGCTCATGAGACCTCTGTTCAGTGAGCATCTTTTGTTTGGCCTAAAAAAAAAAAAAAATTACAACATAACACATTTTTAAAAAGCGTGACACTTGGTATTAATATAATACAATTTGACCCTCGGTCATTTCTATTTTTCTTTATTTTGTGTAAAGGAAAATGGTTCACAAAGCTCTCTAATGAGTTGAGAGCCAAATATTTCATTGTGTAGCCTAAATGCTATTGTTGAATATGAATCACAAAGTCATGTACGCCGCTCTGGTATGACTACATAGTTTCACTGACATGCTGAAAACTTAATTGAATGCTTTTCCATACACACTCCCGCAAACCTATTACAGTAACTACCAAGTCTCTCTCACGATTCAGTTGCCATTTTTTTTTGCCTTCTCGCAATGATTGAAGAAGCCTGTTTCATTTGTTCGGGCATATTGTTCAGCAAAGTCCATTGAGGGCAGTGCAATGTTGCAATGATGAGCAGAGAGACTGCAAATTGTGATTGTCTGTGTATTGCAGTAACTCTGGCTTATGGCATCTACAAGCAGGACCTACCAGGTCCAGAAGAGAAGCCCAGGATAGTTGTGTTTGTCGATGTGGGCCACTCTGGTTACCAGGTGTCCGTTTGTGCGTTCAACACGGGAAAGCTGAAGGTGAATATTAAAGGATTGGAGCTGTACAAACTCGCAGACATGCTTAGCGGCCAAATATTATCTTCTTGTTTTTCCAGATCCTTGCAACGGCGTTCGACTCCGAGCTGGGCGGGAAGGACTTTGACGACATTCTGGTGAGCCACTTCTGCGAGGACTTTGCCAAGAAGTACAAGCTGGATGTCAGGTCCAAGCCCCGCGCGCTGGTGCGCCTCTACCAGGAGTGCGAGAAGCTCAAGAAGCTGATGAGCGCCAACTCGTCCGACCTGCCCCTTAACATTGAGTGCTTCATGAATGACATTGACGTGTCCAGTAAACTCAACAGGTGAGATACAAATAAACTCCATGTGTGTTAGCGTCATCGAAAATACTTCCCACCATCAGCCGTGATAGTTACTGTTTTGTTTGGTGTCCGCAGAGGTCAGTTTGAGGAGAAGTGTGCGGGGCTGCTGGCCAAAGTGGAGGACCCCTTGCGCAGCGTCATGGAACAAGCTAGTGAGTGCATCCCATTTTAATGCTTGCTGGATTGTCCATTGTCAGCACGTGTACAACCAATGCGGTCAAATGAAGTAGTGATCCACGTTGTTCTCATCCTCCGTGTGTACAGAGTTGAGGAAAGAAGATGTGCACGCGGTAGAGATTGTCGGCGGCGCCTCCAGAATTCCCGCCATCAAGGAACGCATCAGCAAGTTCTTCGGCAAAGAGCTGAGCACCACTTTGAATGCAGATGAGGCTGTGGTCAGAGGCTGTGCGCTGCAGGTACTGTATGTACACATGCAAGTTTTGGTTCCTCGCATACAGTTTGATTGGCAATCTGCAAATGTTCTTCCCCCTCACAGTGTGCCATCTTGTCTCCGGCTTTAAAAGTCAAAGAGTTCTCCATCACGGACGTCGTCCCTTACTCGATCTCATTTAAATGGAACTCAGCAGCAGAAGAAGGACTGAGGTAAGCGTTTTTTGTTTGTTTGTTTTTGATTGCATTGACATACATTCAGGTTTGTCAAAAGTGTGACAAGTGCATGTGGGCAGCATTTTGGTCTCATGGTTAGCGTTTGGCCTGACAGTTCTGAGGTGCTGGTTCCACTCTCATTTGAGTTGATACTTTGTCCAAAAACATACATGTTAGATTCCCAGGCTCCAGCTCAACCATAAGTCATGATCATCACAAAACAAGCACAAAATAAATTGGCTGGATGAATGTCCAAAATGTCGTCACCATCTTGATTATTGACTGACATTTATACACCTACGAAATTGCAAATGTCTTCCACTCACCTTTAAAAAATCCTTTAAAAAAGTCCAATAATAAATCTCTTATCTATTGCTGATATTAGACCTGGGAACCTTGCTTGCCATGATGAATTTTGGCAAATTTGTTTTTGTGGTTAAATTGTTATGCATATGCATGTAATTATGCACACTGGTATATAGGTGACAAAAATCTCAAGATAATGCAAAAACCACTTCCTAAAAAGTGGGTAGCATGCAAATAAGAAGTTAATTTCTGAAATGTTCAAGTTCAAACTATCAAATTGGATTGAGCAGTTCTATTTGTGCTTTCATCCATGTGCACAAGAATATCCAGAGAAGTATGCTGTTGTTGTCTACAACTATGCATTTCTACTTTATCCTCCACTCCCTGTCAATAGAATAACATCCTTTTCATTTTTAGAATCACATTCTCTTGACCTGATCCCGTTTTGTGCTTGACAGTGATTGTGAGGTATTCCCCAAGAATCACACCGCTCCCTTCACCAAAATGTTGACCTTTTATCGGAAGGAGGCCTTCCTTCTTGAAGCATACTACAACAACCCCAAGGAGCTGTCGTACCCCAACACCTCCATAGGTAAAGTATGCCTGCCAGTGTGCTTCAACAATCACCCAAATTTATGATGAGGATGGAAATCTCATCATGCTCAGTTAATTGGCATTCCAAAATGGAACTGACTGGCTTCAAAGGTTTTAGCATGAGATTTTTTTTTTTAATGTTAAAATTATTTTTAAGTTTCACCACCCTTACAACACTCCTCGGGCATTTCGGAATTTTTTCTAGCATCAAATTATGGCTGCTTTTAAGATCCAAAGTCGACTGCAAAGTTTGGAACGAAAAAGATTTGATGGGATTGCAGTCATGGTTAACCAGTTTGTTTGTGCAAATAAAATAATGCTGACAGTTTTTATTTGCATACAGTTTGAGAGGCAGAGGTGTTTCTTGGAGGTTGGAGATGAATCATTGTATGGAGGAGAGGGGCTAACCGTTTCCATCTCCTCCCCAAAGGGCAGTTCCTGATCCAAAACGTGGTCCCTCAGTCGTCGGGAGAGAGTGCCAAGGTGAAGGTCAAAGTTCGAGTCAACATTCACGGCTTGTTCAGCGTGTCCGGCGCTTCCCTTACCGAGGTGCTGAAAGCGACAGATGGAGAGGAGCCCATGGAGACCGACCAGACGGGGAAGGACGAGGAGGTGTGTGTCATATTGAGTTGGACTTGAGACAAAAGGTCTCTTTTACCTCGAGATCCCACCAAATTTGCCCCATAATCGGCTTTGACACCAAACTCTCTGCTTTTGGGGTAATAATAATAATAATAAATATGTATATGGTCTTGCCTTGTGCATTTTCACCTATTATATGAATGTTATGATGCCGCCTGAGAAGTTGCTCAGTCAACTTTGGCCCCCTAGTCTACGAGGGTGCCACTTGAGCAGTACAATGACATGAAAAAAGAGGCAAAAAAAACCCAGTGGCTTTTGCAGGCAGTGTAAAAGAGAGAAAAAAAGACTCTTTCACACGGCCCTTCTGCTCACACCTTGAACGTGCGGTTTTGTCATCACAATGGAATGTAGCAGGCAGGTACAGGGAGTTCCCTTTTATTCTCTCTAAATGCTTCCCTGGTCATTGAAGTTGTTGGGCAACTTCTAACATGTAGTATATTGTTTTTATATTACTTATTTATTACAATCGGTGGTACTTCCATACAGAGTGTCTTTTTCGTCCATTGATGCAGCCATGCTGAAAAGATAGCCAAGAATCAATCATCAGCATTGGCATTTCCCTCTATCGTAGCTCCAACAGTACGATCAGATAAGATAAGAAAACCTTTAATAGTCTCACAATGGAGAAATTCCCACTTCACAGCAGCAAAGTCATGAGAGGAAGAAGGAGAAGAACAAAATAAATAGGAGCTGCTGGAAAGGCAGCCACTCTCGCGGCGCCATCTTGAAGTCAAAATAACACAACAAGATGTCAGTCGTAGTTATTTATTCCTTTGTTGTGTATTCACAAATGATGAAATCACAATTTAAATTCTGTAGGGGGTGGGCTGTAGAATTTATTTTGTGATATCCTCGCTCGCTTTTCAGTTTTGATGTATAATTTTCAATTTTTGTAGTTTCATTGAAGTAATCGTTAGTTTACGTTTTTCGGAGGCGGTCTTGAACGCCTCTCGAGTGAACGGAAGAAGGCACGGAGACAGACAAAGACGTACCTGTATTTGTTGAGACTGTTTTAAAAAATTAACACCACAGCTCTCCTTTTTTCGGAGCTGCAACACAAACTTATTTAATAAAGCAGCGATACAGTTCACTGAACCAAACAGCATGTCTCCCGGAAGGAGCCATCTTGGAGTCAACGTATTACCGTAATGACCATACAAAAGATGCACCGGATTTTAAGGCGCTCGGTGAGCTTTTAAGAAAATGGAAGACTTTTTGGTGCGCCCTATAGTGCGGAAAATACGGTACTTATGTACCTCCTTAATGCTTAACACTGTTGCAGAATATCTGGAGGAGGTGGCTCACGTTTACATCATGTTTGCCCGTTTGTTGTTGTTGTTGTTGTTGTTGTATCAGAACAAAATGCAAGTAGACCAGGAAGATCAAAGAGCAGCTCCTGGCGGAGACAAGAAAGTTGACACAGAAGAGATGGAGGTAAAAGTTGTGCACTTGACTGTATGTGAAAACTTGATTCAACGTTATTGGTACCGTGTCCAAGAAAAAGACGTCCAATCAGATTGCTCGGATGCCTGTAGAGGGCACAAACAACATCTGGGGGTTGCGATAATAGGGGATGAAGTTGTATCTTGAAACAATTCCCCACTCGTAATTTTCAGACGGCGACAGAGGAAGGCAAGCAGGAGAAGAAGAACGAGCCTCAGGCAAAGAAGCCAAAAGTGAAAACAAAGACGGTGGAGCTGCCCATCGAGACCAATTTGTACTGGCAGCTGTCCACTGATGTACTAAATACGTTTGTGGAGAATGAGGTAAGGTTCTAAAAAGCACCAGGCATGTCCAGCCTGCACTCAGAGTAGTTATGCTTAAGGCAAAGGTTGGTCTTCGTTTTAATAATACATAAATACCTGTGAATGTGCCTCGAAAATTGTTCAGAACATGTCATCCTGGTTGGTTTCCATGTTTTTGTAATGTTAAAACAATTGTTCCCTTAGGACACCATGTCATGTGCTTTCCCCCGCCTCTTCTCATAAAATTGTATCGCTTTGAATAGAATTAAACACCTTTTATTGTCATTGCACGGTGCAGATATAACAAAATTGGGGAAAAGGAAAGTGGAGGTTCCACTGTATGCCTGAAGTTTTTGCTTTCTGGCTTCTTCACCTAAATACTTTTGAAGCGACCATTTTCATCACACACTGGTCACGTCTGATTGCGGTCATGTCTCTAGGGCAAGATGATAATGCAAGACAAGTTGGAGAAGGAGAGGAACGACTCCAAGAACAACGTGGAGGAGTATGTGTACGAGATGAGAGACAAGTTGTTCGGCTCCTTGGAGAAGTTTGTCACTGAAGCGGTGGGAAAACATTTTCAAAACATTTCTCAAAACTGCGTTTGTTTGATTCCAGTTTTGCAGACTTGTCATTTATTGTATGTGTGTATCTACACGCAGGATCGTGACGCATTCTCATTAAAATTGGAGGACACAGAGACTTGGCTGTATGAGGATGGAGAGGATGAAAAGAAGCAAGTTTACATTGACAAATTGGCAGAATTGAAGGTACCAGTTTTGATTGAAACTATTTGTCAGCAATGACATTGCTTGTGATTGGTCCCTTGGTAACCAAAGTTACTTGATAAATAATTAAAAATGTCCAATTAAAAAGTCTCATATTGCCCACAGAAAATCGGGCAGCCTATTGTTGAGAGAGCCATGGAAGCTGAGGAGCGGCCGAGGGCGTTTGAGGAGCTGGGCAGGCAAATCCAAATGTACATGAAGATCATCAACGCCTACAAAGCAAAGGTAACAATCTACTACGGCTGGCTGGCAAATTGATTAATTCAAGCTCACAAGGACATGCGCTGCTTACACTAACATGATAGCAAACCACTGGGCTAGTTGGCAAAAGTACAGTGTTGCCTACTTTGTTATTTATTTGTTATAGAGAGCAACTTTTCCGACCTTTTCTATAAGGTTATTTTCCAAAGAGTTTAATTCCTATAAAAAAAAAAAAAAAAGACAGCATGGCTGGAATCTTATTCACATTGTTTTATTTTGTATATGGCAAGAAAAGGGAGGCTGGTGGGACGCAATCATGGATTTAAGTGTTCCTAATAACAAAGACATGGTGCCCATTTATTTATAAGTGGTGAGGTGAAGCAGTAATTTATACTCTAGATCTGTAACGACATCGCTAAAAATCGTAACTCCCTAAAGAAGCAAACTTGTGTCCTCTTTGAAATTGATTTCTTCGATGTTTTGTTTAGTTTTTTCAAGACACGGGTGGGAGATTGAAAATGCTACTTAAGTTTGTCAGTGTGTAAAAAGGACCCATGTTAACTATTTAATGACTCATGTCATCTCCCGTACAGGATGAGCAGTATGCGCATTTAGATGAGCTGGAAGTGACCCGCATGGAGAAGCAGGTGAACGATGCCATGGCGTGGATGAACAACAAGATGAATCTGCAAAATAATCAAAACCTGATGCTGGACCCGGTGGTCAAAGTCGGCGAGATCCAAGCCAAGGCCAAGGTCAGGAAGCCATGGCCAATTATTTCATACCCAGTCGAACCTCCAATGTGGAATAGAATCCGTTCCATCTTGTGACTGTCTTTGACATCCTGTTCTTATTTTAAAACAGTAATTTTGTCAGATAATGTTTTAAGTACCATTTGAAGCATTCCTTATTGTCAAACAAGTATAATGAGAAGTTAACCTCAGCTTTATATTAATTGTTGAATTTGTTTTATTTCTCCACAGGAGCTTTACTCGGCGTGCAACCCCGTGCTGTCAAAGCCAAAGCCCAAGCCCAAGGTGGACCCGCCAAAGGAGAAGCCCGACAACGGGCCCACCAACGAGCAGGAGGGAACAACAGAAAGACAGCCCCCCAACTCGGACAAAAAAACAGACACGGCGCAGAAAACGGCAGAAAACAAGCTCCCCGAAATGGACATTGACTAACTTTTTGCGCCATTTGCCCCGCTTATGTGGCACTTGTGAGGATCCAGCAGCGTTTCCATTATCAATACTGTACTTCTCATTGACTTGTTCTATTTCTTCATGACTACAGACTAGTGCATCTGTAATGGTCACACTCAGATACGCAAAGTTGGTTGCAGGTCATTTATCAAGGTAATGTGGCGAGTTGAAGAATCTGGAATGTTTGCAGTTCAACATAATGTGCATTTTCATCCACTTCAAAGCAATGTTTTTTTTTTTTTGTATTTTGATTTAAAAGGACAGATGTGCTTGTACTGAGTTCCAACAATAGCTTACTATCTTACAGTATTTCATTTGTTGTATGGCTTTTCTCATTCATTTAGTTGTATGATTCTTCACTGGTTGTGTTTTTTCTACATAATGCTCGCCCAGGTGCTGCTCTTGTTGCTAAGTCATCAAAAAAGCAAATAAAACTCAAGGACCATAAAGTGATATTTTTCATTTATTGAAGAGGAAATTATAACTAGATAATGTTATTTGTATTCCAGGGACCACCGTGGGAGTGGGTGAGAACAGAGAAAACCAACTTAAAAATGATACTTATGTGTTTTATATTCACAGTTTAAGGTACTGTCTTGGTGTCTAAACATGAAATACCCCAAGGACCAAGAATTAGAACACACCTAGGATAGAATGTTGGGGACACAACGAATTGTAAAAAAAAAAAAAAAGAAAACCACTAGTTCCATGAATACACCTTTACCTTTAGGAAGATTTTACAATACATGAAGAGATTTTAATAAACAACAACCATTAATCAAACTGTGTTTGTATTTGTTTACATTCAAATTGCAAGTTTTTCTCTTTGAAACTGAAATTTTGCCATAGGAGTTCATTGAGACGGACACCCGCCCCCACCCAAAAAAAACGATCAACCAACAAACAAAATTACAAATGAAAAATTACAGGCATTATTTTGTTTTCATGTTAAAATCCATGATGAAATTTTCCATTTAGAATTTGTTTTAGCATCAAAATACAACTTTCAATTTTAAAAGACGTTAATACCTGATTTAATATATTTGTAAATTCACCTGGACAATACGTCGTTTTTTTTTTTAAAGCGGAGGTTACCTGCGACTGTACCTCCAGGCCTGGCGGGGTCGCTGCTACAATCAGGTACAGTAATGCAATCGGCACTGAGCACACGTCTGTAGCGTTTGGCACTTTTAAGGTGAGAAACGTGTTTTCCTACTTTTTATTTCTTTTTCAGCGTGGCATTAAGTGTACTCTTAGACGTCTCGTACACACGCGGGAGCTGACAATGTCGACGCTCTGACAAGTTAAAGAAGCGGTGGCAGATGTCGGCCATGAGCCACTGTTAACGCCAGCTTCCACTGAAGAATGCTCGCTATTGCTCGGCTGATGTCAAATCACTTTTGTCTAGCCGAACATTTCCGCACACGCCTCCTCTGAGTACTTTAGGTGAGGGATAAACCACTTGGATCAGGTAAATTATATTCTTCTGTTGTTTTTTTCAAATGTTAAGCGAAGGTGAATTGACATACGTCACGTGAAAATTACGTCGGCTTCCTAACCTAGTCGTCTCTTGGAACTCCTTGGTTCTGTAGTTCCTGGTCTGGTACAGTCGCTGAGTAATGACGTCTGAGCACCACAACATTCTCTGTGCATTCATGGCATGTTGTGGTGCGCTTGCGCCCCCCCCCCCCACACACACACACACACACACTCTCACACATCACCACTAAAACAAAAAAACAAAGGGTTTTGAAAAAGACATGACTGACATGGTGAAAGGATATCTTTTCCTTCCACTTGGTGCCACTTAAGAATTACATTGCACTGAAAGCTGTCACGAGCCAATGGTAGCACATAAGTGCTTCAGAAAAACACACCACACAAAAAGCCCAGGGCAATGTGACAAAAAAGGAGGCGGCTGCTTTGATGTCAAGTAGAGGGCTGCAAAATATTATCATATGGGCTGCAAATGGTCCCCCAGACCACCAGTTTGAGACCCCTGTATCACTGTATTGTTATTGCTGCCCTGTTGGTTTGTGTTCTTGTGTTGACTTTCTATTCGCAGGAATACCGTATTGTTTTGTGACTATCGCTGTAAAATATACTGTCCTAATTACTACTGTATTGTTTTACCAGGAATGTAAATGTCTCAGGACAAGTCAGATCAGGAGGATGAGCTGCTTGCCTTAGCAAGTATTTATGAAGAGGAGTTCCATCGAGCGGACTCTGCCCAGGGGGGAGAGATCCAGCTCTGCATGAAACTTCCCCCCGATTTCAAAGTTGTCGTCAAAGGTATCGTGGGTGCGAAGCGTCAACCTAATGATTGATTGAGCCTGAGAACTACAGTGGGCAAACTCTAATCATTTTGCAGCACAATCTTACGTAGTGCAATATTGGTCTGAGTCCATACACCTACTTATTCTATCAATATTTTATGGAAGGTGAGAAATAACATTAACTTATTTAACTGATGCAGATGCACTGGCATCCAAGCTAAAAAAACAAAACTAAATAAAAAATAATATTAGTCAAGTCCAAACATCTGTCAGTGTCTATCAGTATTTGTTGAAAGATGACAAAAGATAACAAAAACATTAATTTCTCCTAGCATGCAGATGTGCACCCACCCACACTTTTGTGCAGTAATGGATTGCCCGTACATGTCAAAACTAGAACTGGATATCACCCAAAATTCATGTGACTAATCTACCTTTTCCCTTTTCAGTTGTGCACTTTTTAAATTGAAGATGACAAAATTTGTGTGAACCCACTCCAGTTCTCTCAGCCCTCCCCTTATTTTAAATCTTTTGCAGGGGAGAAGCAAACCGAATATAAAATCAGTTTCTTGCCTCCTTTGGTTCTCAACTTTGAGCTTCCTGAAGACTATCCATCTACAAATTCGCCAATCTTCACTGTCAGCTCAAAATGGATGACCCGAGGACAGGTGTGACACGATACAACTTGAGACTATTTTTACTCACGACCCGTAATTGTTCCTCCTCCTACTGCTCGTTGTGGTCAGATGAGCTCTCTGTGCCGACGCTTGGATGAACTATGGGAGGAGAACCGAGGCTGTGTGGTTCTCTTCACCTGGATTCAGTTCCTCAGCGAGGAGGTGCTGGAGTTCCTGGGCATTCAGTCTCCTCTCCTAGTCACCAGGCATGAAAGTAAGGCGAGCGGGGAGCGCAGCAGGAAAGCTGACCACGCGGCCGCAGGTAGGAATGAAAGACTTGTGGAGTTCAGTAGCTTCAACAATATTAAGGACCTGTGACTTCAAGGCTCTTTTTGGGAGGGAATAATTGTTCACTCTCTGCGAGCGCCGGAGAATTACTCAAATTCAGTTCGACATCGTAGTGTAGTAGAATGCAATTTTCAAATTGCGGAGGCTGTAACGTTGAAAAAAAAATCCTCCAAGTGTTTAGTAAATTAGCAAGTCCAATTGAGGTAGATAAACTGTCTTTCATTTTAATTCATATTTCATTTGCCTTTAATTTAGTCTAAGTCTAACCCATAAACCCAAAAATTTATCTATAATAAATCTTATATTATTGCAATACAAATTCATTGCTTGTCTTTGTAAAAAAAAATACATGGAAAAATGATGTCATATCACAATATTGAGGAAAACATACTTTCAATTCTAAATCATTCACCTGTCGTGCTTTGCATTATTAACAGCTGCCATACTTGATTGGTCAATGAGTCAGAAGGATGTTTTTTTTTTTTCTTTGCAAGTTGGCTCAGATGCGACACAGCTCGGGAGTCCGTGCGATTGCTCGGAGAAGATGAAAGGAGAGGTCAAGAAGAAAAAGTGTGACCAACAGCCCTCGTTGGCGTCTCTCCCTCTGGACCCGCGGGCCATCGTGTCTGTGGACACGCGCGTCGACCTCCTACCTCATCTGTTGGACTTTGACGAGGCGCAACGACAGAGGGTGTTCGACGGCACGCCCTTCTGCTGCGGCATCTGCTTTACGGAGAAGCTGGGTGCCGACTGCCTCTGCTTTAAGGAGTGCCAACATGTTTACTGCAAAGGCTGCATGACAGAATACTTCCAGATCCAAATACGGGACGGCAATGTGCAGTGCCTTAATTGCCCCGAGCCCAAGTGCTCCTCAATAGCCACACCTATGCAGGTACCATTCTGCTATATGTAGTCCCTATGTACTGTCACTTTTAAATGTTTCACCCTCCCTGTTTGTACTTTGTAAACTCACAAGGTCAAGCAGCTGGTGAACGAGGAGCTGTTTGCCCGCTATGACCGCCTGCTGCTCCAATCCAGTCTGGATCTCATGGCTGATGTTGTGTACTGCCCTCGCCACTCTTGCGGCACGGCGGTCATGGTGGAGCCCGACACCACCATGGGCATCTGCTCCGTCTGCCAGTATGCCTTTTGCACGCTGTGCAAGATGGGGTACCATGGGGTCTCGCACTGTAAGATCCCCGCAGGTACTTTGATTAAGGTTGAACACAATCTGCTCAGTGACGGCATTTTTTTTTCCTTAGGAAATACTAGCATCGCAATCCTAAAACATTTAACTGTAGACAATGTCTTAAGGTAAAATCTTAGCACACCTTACTGTCGTACAACTGTAAACAAAATTTAAGTGTAATAATAAATATAAACTCAAGTAAACGTAGCCACCTTATGAAGATGGCTGGCAGATGTGGAACAGAGAAGGAAACAGGAAGATGTTTCCAGAGTTTTACCGGTAGATAGTTTTGTAAGCGCTTTATAGTTCATGCGAAATTTTTAAGTGTTGTGTATTGAGGAGATACACATTAGCGTCTGCTTGATGAAACTAGTGTAGGTAATGTTTATTGTCACTGCTCACTCATCTTAAATCTCACAAGATTTCCTGACATCACACTTGATCATTGGTTTAAGTTTTGCATATTTTTTCACAAATGTGGGATTGATTTCCAAATTATTCTACTTTGGAGACTCCACTTAAAGTAATTTCTGTCATTTCTACCCGTATCCCAAATATTTCTGTTTTTTGTTGTCATGTGCCATAGAGGAGTTGCGCAGCCTTCGAGACGAGTACCTGTCTGCCACGGCCGCGGGAAAAAAGTTTATGGAGCAGCGATTTGGGAAAAGGGTGATCCAGAAAGCCGTGGAAGAGTCCTTTAGCAGAGATTGGCTCAATGAGAACTGCAAATGCTGCCCCTACTGTGGCACCAACATACAGGTGGGGGCTCCCCCTGTTGATCTCAGGCTGCTACTACAGGACACTTACCACTTATTTTTTTTCCCCTGTTCAAAAACACTTCCCAGATGTCTTAATGATGAAGGTTCTCTGATATCCTTCCGTCAAAATACACAAAGGATAAAGAATGACAGCACACATAACTTCCACCTGACGCTTTACCATATGTCCCATTAAACTCGTGACTGTTTTGAACTTGACATAACTTCAATAATGGGTGTGAGTCTGTGTTCATTTGTGTGTGTGTGTGTGTGTGTGTGTGTGTGTGTGTGTGTGTGTGTGTGTGTGTGTGTGTGTGTGTGTGTGTGTGTGTGTAGAAAGTAGACGGCTGCAACAAAATGACGTGCACCTCGTGCCACCATTACTTCTGCTGGCTGTGTCTGGGCCTGCTCAACAAAGCCAACCCGTACAGTCACTTTAACAACCCACACTCACCCTGCTACAAACAGTGAGTCACTCCTTCCTCCTCACGTCAAGACGCCGCTGTTTTGTCTAAACTAGACGTTTCTAAATTCCTTTTTTTTCCCCTTTCTGTCTCTCTCCCCCCAAACTGCCATAGACTCTTCCATGGTGTGGATCTGGATGAAGAAGATGCCTTATGGAGTGATGAAGAAGACTGATGTTCTTTGTAGTGCACCCCGCCAGAATGCACTTTATCGTACACCACAGTCTGTTCATCTTTTGATTCTTGCGGCAAAGTGTTTTTTTTTTTTCCCCCCATGATCGTCACAAATTTGACACTTGAGTAGGTACACCGTATAATGACGTCCATTAGAATGTTTAGAAAGCACTTATAGCCTTGATTGTGGCAGCAATGCGGCTTTATAAAGGATACACCCAAATGTATCCCCTAAAATATGATTCCACCAATAAATGTATAAATTACACATTACAGTATTGGAATATTTGGGTTCATTCGCTTTTTCTAAGACTTGTATAAAATTTGGTGAGTGGAATGAAATGCGCTGACATGGCCCAGTATTGCGCTAATAGACCAAAATATCGGGATCTCACGGTAGTGTGCCCAATGAAGTGGCTGTGTATGTCTACATCGGTGTCCCTGAAAAATGTACTCGCTCGTTGACCGGCCATTGCACATAAATTTCGGTTTGATTTAGATGTTGACATAAATACAATGGTAATTGAGTTAAAGACAATGTTATACCGTATTTAAGAAAATTGAATGCCACAGAAGAAAACTGTCAAAAAAACATAACAAAAATAAGTAACTGGGTAGTCAAAGAGTGAGTACATTTTGGGGGTGTCCCTCTTTATATGGATGTACTGTAGTTACAGAACGGAATCAGCACATTTTCAATGCAGTCTTTGTATTTTGGAAATGATTGTGATTTCCCCCTAATGTCTTTTCAAAAACCTCACTAATCTCGTGTTTTGATCGGGACTGATTGTGTCATGTGTGGTTTTAAACATTGTTCGTACAGATGAGGGGCTGTTTGTGGCACGAATTGCCAAAAGTTCCGAATGGAAAGTTGTTGTTTTTTTGGTTTTGTTGTCATCGCAAGGACCCTCATTCAACTACAAAATAAATGTCCCCCGTTTGGCACTGAAATCATGCATCCAATATTTGTCACATACAGTATTTATTAAGGCTTTGAAAAAGCTTGAGTCTTCAGCAAGTCTTGAAGTGATTTGCTTTTACTTCCTTTTTTTTTGAGAGGGGAAGGGGGATGACCACAGGGGGTACAAAAAAAACATGTACAAAATTATTATATTATTGAATCTAACAACTGTAGAGCTCCCTGGATGACCTCTATCGACCCTTTTTCTCCTTATTTTCAAATGGGCGAGTAGTTTTATTTCAGTAGCGTACTGAAATAAAACTACTTCAATGTTCACTCTTCAAATGACTCATCATGTTGCTACAGTACATTTAAGTGCAGTTCAGTTACATTAACTTTGCCATACATTTGTATTTAAGCCTTAAGATTATTTTTTTTTTAGGATAATATTTGGTGTGAATGTTTGAGAACCACTGTACTGCAGTATGTAGGGGAAATGAGAGAAGCCACAATGTCAACCTCGACACTAATTTTGAAAAAAATATCAAATTGTTCAAAGGGATGTTGTCAAACTGGCAAGGACCCAAAATGGGTCCGAGGTACACATTGTTTTTTTACCAGGATTTTTTTTATCCATTTTTGTTAAACATTCATGTCTTCTACCGTATCAGAAATTGATGCACCGTAGAGTGTTTGTCAATACATACGTATTGTATTTTACAACATTTGAGTCCCACTGCACTAACATTCTAGTGTCGTGTGTGTCGACCCCACAAGGCGTCTTGTTACCTGCTGTGTGACCCATTTTGAGGCTTATAATCCAGGTGGTGGTGCTGTACGACCCGTGTGGGAGCAACAATGAAATACTAAAGAAACAAAAGAGCACACGTTTGAGCCTGAGACTGAAAAGAGACGACAACATTGTGTCACCCATTTGGCCAGAGTTGCTGACAGGGGATAACCCTTTAAAATGGCCCCCCTCTCTCCTGCCGTAACCCCCTCCCATCCACACACACACAAACTAACTGACTGCTACTATGCCCCTAAAGACATATCTTCTCTCACAAATGCAGGAAACCATCAACAACAGCAGAACCTGAATATCGCAGAGGAACATCAGCAAACAAGTGTGATCGCCTCTAAAGCAGGATAGCGCTCCCAACTGGGGGGGAAAAAGGTCAGTGTTGGATCATGGCACACGGCCTTGGAGCTCAAAGGTTAATGAGCAAATTGACAAAGTTTAGTGGCATGGATGTGGAAGATGCGGTCGATACATTGTATTCCAGTCTGCTGAAACTCAATTAATTGATCAATCTAAGAATGCTGAACATAATTCTTTTACATCTAAATCCAAGCGCAACAGACTTTACACAGGCTTCAACCACATTTTAAACGTTTCCCATAATTTTAGGAGTGCTCAAAATTGCTACCTTATGAGGCCTCAAAATGTGATTTGTACCTGTAGTTTTCGTGTGACTTTTTTTTTCCGGGGGGGACAGACGTTTCCTTTACAAATGTTTCAAAAGTATTGTAATTATGATCAAAAATGTTGTTGTAATTCAAATGGAAATACAAAAATATAAGGATATGTTGTCTTTAAATGACAATGTTTTGCCAATGTTCCCCAAAGATTTTCTTGTGAGAATCCTATAGGAATAATCATATTTTGTTTTACTCATCTTCAGATAAATATGTTTATATTTGTTGTCGTTTCTATGGTGAGAAATATTTTATTCCGATATAAATATCGGAATATAATATGTATCCTCGTGAATTACAATTGAATATAAATTCCCATTCAAGTTCTTCCATAAAAAAGTCACAGCGATATTTATATCATATTTAATATTAAAATCTTAACAATGCTAACACCGAAATAGCTAGGTTTTTTTTTCTAAGTTCATGAACATCTTTTTATACAGGTAAACAGCTCCTCATTCCAAATTTAAAAAAATAAAATCATAATCACCAGTATCTGAGAAGTTACCTGCGCAGTCCTATCATGATCGAGAGTGAGAGAGAGCTGTCTGCCATGGTGCAGGAACTGTGGGACAACGATGTCAACAGACTACGACCTGGAAAGGACTACAGGATATCTTTGCAGGTGCCACATACACGTATACACTGGCACTCTCTTAAACAGTTTCCAAATAAACACAGATAACTTACATCATATTAATGTAAAAGAGTTTCACGTTCAACTTTGTACTACAACCTATGCAAAGATGTACAATAAGACATCAAATGTAAAGGTGTTACAGTACTTTGTTGTACTCCTGTCCTGTTTCAGGGCAAAGCAGGTGACAACATGGCCGACAATGACAACGACGGGGCGGGATATCCTCTGTTCAAATTTGTCGACGAGAAAATTTTCCAGAAGGAGACTTTTTTAGGTGAGTCATCATTTTGTGGCATCTTGATGCTAAGGAACTTGTGAATTGAGGAGCTTCATTTAGACAAACGGAGTGCTTTACCGACATCTTGTGGCATCGTGGTGCCAGTGAACTATATTGGAGTGATTTCAGGAGTTACATTTTGACAAAAGTAGTGCTTTCTTGGAAGCAATTGCAAATTCTTTTAAGAGTGCATCGATTACTTGCAGTTTTGCTACTCTGTAAGGTGCATTTCATGTATACTTTATTCTGCAATTAGTAGCGACGTGTTTATTAGGGGGTGTGAGGCATTTAGTTGAACATTTATTGTGTGCTGCCTCTCACCTGAAGTCAGCTCCAGCAGGTTCCTCTGACCTGAATGAGGACAATTTGTATAGGAAATGACTGGATGTCCACAAGTGTGACATCCTATCTTGTACTACAAAGTGCTCCAGTGATGACTCGCTGGACCTCAGTCACATCGCCTCACAGTAAAGCTTTTTTCATCCACTAGTATAATCTCCTTATGACGAACAGGGCATGTTGCATAAGCGCAGAGCACACAGGGTTCACTATGCCCGGCCAGCGGGTGTAAGCAACCTAGCCCCGCCCACTTCTTGGATCACATGACCAGAAATTGCTAAGACTTTGGCTTCGTTCATGTGGTTTATAGGGTGGTCATTTGGAAAAACAACAACCTTTTCTTTAACCCTCTGCAGGTAGTTATTACTATGGAGAGATCACTGTCCCACTTATGTTAACTAGCATGTCCACATAGTAGAGGCATTTACATTAAATGCCTTTGTGTGCCCCACTTATAAAGGCGTCCCCCATGGTTCTGTCCTTCGCCCAATCTCGTTCTTGTACATGCTTCCATTGGGATAGTACTTATCACGAGTCCTCCATCCGTTCTGGATAGTTCTTGTCCTCATTACTTGCTAGCTGAACTGAAGTCTGTCAGAAGGTCTGGTGTGAGTTAATGTATAGAGTTGCAACATAATTTTACCCAAAATGTTGATCTTGCGTGATATGATGACGTCTCTTGTGACGTAGTCTATGACAACAGTTTTTGGAATTAAGTCGCGCGTGCCAAAGAAAAAGCAAACCATGGATGGATGGATGTTCAAAAATCTTGGAGAGTAGAAAGAATACTGTTGTGCGGTACAGACCTAGAATTAATTATTATCCCTCAAGTGTTCCCATAAGGTTCAAGGTATGCATAATCTGTATGTGTCTTTGCATATTAATTTGCTTTGGGTGTGTTTGCTTTTACAGCCTTTATTTCCTTGTTGGATAACTATGTGAGTGACACTGGGGAGCCAGAAATCGTTACCCCGGAGGAGGTAGCGGAGAACCACAAGTTCCTGGACTCTATAGTTAAGACTCCCACTATGAAGGTACACTGTGGGCAACCTGCATTGTGGTGCTGCATACATGGTTTTGTTTTTTATTGACGTTTTTGCCTCCACAACATGATAGATTTTTTTGCCCCTATTTATTGTAATCTTATTCTACAGCAGGTTTATTTTTGTTGTTTTCAGATAGCTCATAAATACCTGGTGGAGAAGAAGCTGTCCCCGCAAGATGAGACGCAGTTCAAGGAGCAGCTCTACAGAATTTGGTTTGAACTCTACGCAAGGAAAGGCTCCAGCAGGTGGGTGCAACCTGGCACTGAGGCAAAATATAATGCGGGAATCTTGCACCACCACGCCAAACTGTGTGACTGAGTGGCTGTGGGCAGGCTGCACTGTGAGAAGGATCTGTGAAAAGAGATTTGAAAATTCATCCATCCATTTTCTAGAGCACAAGTCTGTAACATTGTTTAATAAGATTCATAAAATTGTGTTTGAATGCCTATTATTGGTTTCTGATCCCTTGTCTCATTCCCTCCAGGCCAGATTCATCAGGTTTCGAACACGTGTTTGTTGGAGAAACCAGAGGAGGGCGGACGGTCATAGGCTTCCACAATTGGATCCAGCTGTACCTACAGGAGAAGCTAGGACACATTGATTACAAAGGCTACAGCGTCAACACTAACTCGCCACATGTACATGGGTTTCTTGAACAACTAAATGCTCGGTGTGCTGGATTAAAGAATGAAGCGGTCTGCAGTTTGCCTACCCCATGGTCTAGTGTGACATGAAATAGTTGTTGGACACTAGCAATTGCTTTTAACGTAACATGATGGAAGAAGTGAATGTTTAATGACGGTCTTTTAGTTTCAATACTACCCCAATTATTATTCTGAGGGGTCCTGTGCAAAGTTATAGTTATCGAAAACTAACAAAATAACTCAAAATAGAAAAATAAGAATTCCTGTTCATGAAACAAAATAATGAGAATGCCTTTAATGGCACGGAAAAAAAACAGAAACTAAATCTAACATTTATAAAACTGAACTGGAATTCTAGTGATGTCGTCCTTCATTTTTGTCAAATAATATACATGAGCTTTCGGGGTTCAAAATAAATGTATTTATTACATGTTTGACATGTAGATGTCTGTGTTCCCTCCAGCCAGACGAGAACAAGCACATCTTGGCATTGCAGTTCAGTTGGAAGAATGGCATCAAACCCAAAGGCAGCATCTTCATCGGCGTCAGTCCCGAGTTTGAATTTGCCCTCTACACCCTGTGTTTCCTCAGCTCGCCCAATGAACGGGTCAAAGTCCAGTTTAGTTTCTACGATGTAGAGATTGTGTGCCACCACTACAACCAGAAGCATATCGGCACGACTTACCCCGTGCTTCTTAAGTACCAAAAAAACACTTAATTTAATAAACAGCTTCATCTTACATGCCAAAATGTACAGGTACTCTTGTTGTCTTTTTCATTTTACTTGAAGATACAATAAAACCTTACAATATCTTGTTTTTATTGTTTATCTTGCCTCTGCACATTCAATTTGATTATTTTCACTTTTTTTCTCCAGTTGTTTTATCGCCCACCTACTCCTTTTGCTGAAAGCATCTTAACACTTAATTTCTTTTCACTTTTCACATAATTTCTTTTGTCTTATTTTAACTTATTTGTAGTGTTTTACGTTTTAAAATCTAATGGTATTACCCACCTTTGTTGAATGCACACACTCAACACATTTTTATTTTAATTGATTTTCAGTCTAATGAGGATAAGCCGTACAGAAAAGTGATTGGTATTTTATTTTTCGCATAAAAATTCCAATTGTCACTGACGTCGTCTTTGCAACTTTGCAAATTTAAAAATAAATGTTATTGTATTTGACCCAAATATAGTTTTTAAATATCTGTAATGTCTGAATACCAATTGTGTCACCCACTCCTATGCATTTTCCGAAAAAGGGTGGAGGGACGTGGGAGGTTTGTTGCGACCAGTGACGTAAATTGCTTGGCACGGAGAAAAATGTTAGCTAGAGTAGATAACCAACGGTTGTCCGGGATTTTATTCAAGTAAAAACCATGATGCGTGCTTGTGTATCGCGACAACAAAACATACCACGACATTAAAATCACACAACACGCCTATTGTGGAAATATTCACAAGATAGTACAATTTTAGTAGCAGAGTTTTTGTCACAATTTTTTATTGATGCTACTTTTAACCATAACATTTATTTTACCAAACACTCATCATCCGGAAGTGGTTTCATAAATTCACTAGCTTGACCATCTTTGCAGCGCACGTACTGAAAGCAGCCTATTTTCTTCCTACGGCGAATTGACAGTTTGTTATATAATTTTCTTGAGGAATTGGATCTGGGTGGCGTGTCGATTTGATTCTGGGATTTTTATTCGCCGTTCAAATCGGAATGGCTGAGCCGAGCGCCAGATATCAGCAGGTAATGCGTATCGCTCCCCCTTCACGCCTAATACGGCTAGCCTACAACGCTAAATGTCTCTTAGCATCGAACACACACAAGGCGCTTCAGTTCAATTCGTTCGATGCGAACGAAAGTACCTCATGATAACCCTTTGTTGCACGAAATGCTTCTTAATTGAATGCTAACTCGTTTTAAACGCGGCTACGCAACGACTTCGCTCATTGATGTTGTGGCGTAAGGCTAACCGGGAAGTGAATTTTTCCATCGACTCATCCGCCCCTTTTCCGTGTGCGATTAATCATGCCTGTCTGTGTGTTTGTCCAGCTGCCCAACGTGGACGAGGCTGAAGGTAACCAGCAGGTAGCTGCAGACGCGCCGCCTCCTTATAGCAGCGTCACAGAGGACAATGCTGGTAAGAAACAGAGATTTGAGCCTGTGAATAATGCACGACAGTGCAGCTCGATTTGGTCTTTTGACTTTAACAGCAGTTGCCACTGGATTCCATTCTGATTCAATAATTGGTTTGCAATTTCTCATTTACTTTCTACAAATAATGTATATTTGATGATCGATCTATGCCAGTGGCGTGTAATCACAGGAGAATAATAGCGTTGAAGTGTATTTGTTTGAAAATTGAGATGAGCCCATTATTTGGAGTACAAATGCCGTTTCTTGAGTGTCATAGGGACCAAGTTGCCATGAATAGCGGTGTGTGTGTGTGTGTGTGTGTGTGTGTGTGTGTGTGTGTGTGTGTGTGTGTGTATGTATGCATGTACACTAAGTCTTCTATTTGTTAATTTAAACCTTCTCTGTCATTATTTCTCTCTTTTGTGATACTAGTTGTCGTAGATTTAACATGACAAACATTTTACTCAATTACAAGCTGCTCATCACGAACGGTCGATGGCATTTCAAAAAGATCAGACATGTTTTATTGAGGAGAGTACACATTATTGTGGCAGTGGCGAGCACATCCAAAAGACAACCACTGCTGCGATCTGCTGGGAATAGTTAACGTTTCCCATCTTAACGATCAAACCAGAGCTGTAGAGAACGCTAAATAACAAAAACATAGATGGTGGCAGTTGCCATCACTGGCGCTCCTCGTCAAGAAATGATTTGATGATCGATCTATGCCAGTGGCGTGTAATCACAGGAGAATAATAGCGTTGAAGTGTATTTGTTTGAAAATTGAGATGAGCCCATTATTTGGAGTACAAATGCCGTTTCTTGAGTGTCATAGGGACCAAGTTGCCATGAATAGCGGTGTGTGTGTGTGTGTGTGTGTGTGTGTGTGTGTGTGTGTGTGTGTGTGTGTGTATGTATGCATGTACACTAAGTCTTCTATTTGTTAATTTAAACCTTCTCTCATTATTTCTCTCTTTTGTGATACTAGTTGTCGTAGATTTAACATGACAAACATTTTACTCAATTACAAGCTGCTCATCACGAACGGTCGATGGCATTTCAAAAAGATCAGACATGTTTTATTGAGGAGAGTACACATTATTGTGGCAGTGGCGAGCACATCCAAAAGACAACCACTGCTGCGATCTGCTGGGAATAGTTAACGTTTCCCATCTTAACGATCAAACCAGAGCTGTAGAGAACGCTAAATAACAAAAACATAGATGGTGGCAGTTGCCATCACTGGCGCTCCTCGTCAAGAAATGATGTCAGCGGCGCACGAAGCTAATAATTTCAATTGTAAACACCCCATCACACTCATGATTAAGCATTCGTAGTACAAATGCATTTTTATCATGTTGAATGATAAACATACAATTTTATTACAATTCTTGGGAAGAACATTTTTTGTCGGAATATCGATTGGGGGGGGGGTTGGCATTGAAAATGACTGACAATCGTGATTCGTGTAATTTTTCTTATGGAATATGTCAACCTAAATACTGTTCTGTTGTTTATGTTTCAGCCTATTTTGACTACAAGGAGGAGGGGAGTTTTCCCAAGCCGCCGTCCTACAACGTGGCGACCACACTACCTTCCTATGATGAGGCGGAGAGGACCAAGGCGGAGACCACTGTTCCCTTGGTACCCGCAAGAGTGAGTTTGACACCGTTTATCCTTTCGTTGTGCTGCTTCCGACCGCTACCTGTATTCAGTACGGGAAATGTAAAGCACCTTTTTGTTAAAATGGGACTCCCAACACATCCAAAGTGAAGGGGGTTGGTTGGGGGGGGGGGGGTGTCCATGCCAGTACGTACCAGTTACGGTGTTGAATGTGGGTCTGAGTGGGTGGTTGCTGTGTTTGACTGCCCGGTGTTGTGTTTCTCTGCCGCCCGGCATTTGGCCGCAGCCTCAACACAGAGAGCGTCTGGAGACGTTTGACGATGTCATACGCAGTTCACTGGAGGTAATGTGTGTGTGCATGTATGTGCCTGTTATTTTTATGTTGTAATGTGCGTGTGAGAGACTATTTCTTTTTGACTGTGTGTGTTTGCGCATTGTCGAGACCGTGAGAGAGTAACAGTGTGTGTTCCCTGTTTGGGTGTGTACCATGAGTGCCCCTGTGCACCTCTCGATGTCTTCTTGTAGTTCCCAGTTCTGGGTGGACAGACTTTTAGAGATTGTGTTGACTGTTCAACATGCTCTCTGTGCTTTTTTTGTGCCTTGTGCGTGTGTGTATGTGTTGTACTTTTATCGTGCCATGGTACCTTGACTTATTTTTCATGCAGCTGCTGTACATGCTCACACCCAGGCTAACAATCCAGTCAGGTCAGGCTTATTAAAGACTCGTTAAATAATTTCAAGATGTACAATAGTTGAATTAAAAAAAACAAAACTGTTGTTTTCTTAATATTTTGTCATTATTTTATATTCACTCGTTTACAATTTATTTATTTATTTATTTTTAACCCAAAATATTTTTGGTGGAGGCTGGAACGGATTATCACGACATGAAATAACCTTGGAAGCCAAGCTGTCACTGTGCTTGTATTGGATTGATTTGTTTTGAATATTCAAGATGTATGTTGATTTGGTCAACATTGAAAAGGTGACATTAATGTTGTTAAATATGTGTACTGTATATTGTTTTCAAATTGTTTCTCTCTCGTCATGCAGGATGAAGACTTTGTAACCAGAGATGATTTTGAAGATGCTGATCAGCTGAGGATAGGAAACGATGGCATCTTCATGCTGACCTTCTTCAGTAAGGAAAAGAACGTATATTATACAAGTATTAACTTGGCCGCAACTTTATTCTCTGTATTTTTTTAAACCCTCCTAATGTTATGACTTCTATCCTAACTTTATGTTTTCCATCTTATTTTATGACTTCTATCCATCCATTATCCGAGCCACTTATCTTCATACGACTTTACGGTCTTAAAATGACCACCTTTTTTCTCACTTTGTTCTCGCAGTATTCAGCTCTGTAACAACTTTATTCCCTTAATTTTTCCTCCCCTCTCTTTTCGTTGTTCCAGTGGCATTCCTGTTCAACTGGATCGGTTTCTTCCTGTCCTTCTGTTTGACCACCTCAGCGGCCGGCCGCTACGGGGCCATCTCCGGCTTTGGCCTTTCCCTCATCAAATGGGTCCTCATCGTCAGGGTACGGACACTTAACAAACTCCCTGTGTCCATTAATTAGTAAAAGTGTAATTTTTTTTTTTCTAACTCCCATCTTTGTGGTCGCAGTTCTCGACATACTTTCCTGGTTATTTTGATGGACAATACTGGCTGTGGTGGGTGTTCCTGGTGTTGGGTGAGTCGCCTTTTACGACTGTTGTCTTTATTGTACACCTGCGCATTGTAACTGAGCAGAGGAAGCTAAAGTACTCATACTCAACACAGTACAAAGTATTCACCATGTTTACTTCCCAACGTTGTCCAATACAAAAGGAGTGTGTGTGAGAAAAGTACAAAAATAGGAATCAGTTTAGATGCTAACACTTGTCTGTGCTCCCCTCCAGGCTTCTTGCTGTTCCTCCGAGGCTTCATCAACTACACCCGAATCCGCAAGATGGCCGACACTTTCTCCACGCTGCCCCGTACCCGAGTTCTCTTCATCTACTGAGCTCAGTGACATCCTATTTCGATTGGAAAAAAACACACACACACACACACACACACACACACACACACACACACACACACACACACACACACACATAACAAAACAAAAAACATCTACTTAACATTTACTGTCATTCCTCTGCGTGATCGGAAAAGGACAATCCACAACCTCTTTGTCCTCTTTTGGTGTAAACTAGCAAATTCTATTAAAAATAAATGACCTTCACTCGTTTAGTGTTGTAAAAGTGCGGATTGCGATTCTGAAGTGTCTGCCTTATTTACTGGTGTGGCCCACTGGTGGCTGACATGCACTTTTTAGCCACCAGGGGACCATCTTGCCTGTATAATTTCAGGCCAGCTCATTTGTACATAGAAGAGGGACGCTGGAGAGCAGAAATCATCTATTTAACTTTTAACTTTATTTTTTTGGGTCAAGTCGATATGTCGGATTGTGCTGGTTGTATATGGAAAAAATAATAATGAGCTGGTTCTTCTGAACAAATGGGCCAAACGCGCTGGTGTTAATGTCTGTCGTGTTAGCAGTGACGAGGGAAATTTGCTGAATGTTCATGAAAACAAGCAAAACAATGTCTTTAAGCATCCATTAAATGTAGAAATGTACTTTATGATCACTTGTATTCGTGTGGAGGTTCAACAATGTTTTTAAACCATAAGAGTGTCCCTGCTTTGGAAAATTAAAAGTCATAAACACATTCTTGTACGTTATTGTTGTACAACCCAAAATCTTGCAGAAACATGTTTCTCTCAAATATTTTTAAAAAAGAAATCGACGTGAGCACTTCTTCTTTGCCTCTCCATCCACCTCGCTGGTGCAAGATGTTGATAGAATCAGTACAGTCAGTGCACATTTTATTGTGACCTTTTATTGTGGGCAGCCCAAGGAACAACACTGCAATCATCATTTTGTCTTACATTTTGAGCAAAGTTTCTTGATCTACATGAAGCCTGCCTAGCCACAAGTGATAAAAGCACATGCCTTACACATCTGTGCATCCGTTTTCGAGAGTGCTTGTACTCCTTCGGGTTAGGGATGCAACCTATGCCAGTTTAGGAAGCGAAAAAAGCGGGATACACCCTGGAATGGACACCAGCTAATCGCAGGGCGCATATTGCTGAATATTTTTGAAAATTTAAAAATGGACACCATTCATAATGTATTGTAGAGTGAGGCTTCTCCAAAATGAGAAGACGATGTGGGATGCATCCAAATCGTATGTCCCCCTTGTGTGTGTGTGTGTGTGTGTGTGTGTGTGTGTGTGTGTGTGTGTGTGTGTGTGTGTGTGTGTATATATCATTGACGTGTGAGTCATCGTACCCCTCCTCACTCACCCTTCATTCGTGTGTATGTTTAAATCCAGCGTGCATGTGCGCGCGCGTGTGTGTGTGTGTGTGTGTGTGTGTGTAAAGCAGTGGTGAGTCATCCACCATGTTAGCAGGTGCGCCATGCACCTTCCCATGTGCTCCCATTTTTTTTTTCGTACCCACCTCCTCCTCCTCCTCCTTCTGACTCACGACTGACTCCCCCGCCATCATCAATGACATCACCAACACCATCCACCCCACCCCAGCTCATGCCCCTCCTCCACTTTGTTGTGGTGATTCATACTGTACGTTGAGCTTCTTCTCTCCTCTTGTTCTGAGGGTGAACTTGAATGTCGCACCGTTCATTCACAAAAACACCTTGCCATAGTTTGCCAGTCATGTTGCTTTACATGATCATGCGTAAACGACGCCTCGTGGTTATCTGCTGTACTATGTCATGAATTAGAACGATGCTATTGTCATGATACACTAATTGGTCAAAAAATATTTAAGTGCACCTGCACAGATGTCAATATAATGCAGCGCAATTGTGCACCTCCACAAATCTTTAAAAAAAAAACAAAAAAAAAACTTTTTTCTATGTCCAATGGATTTGAAAACTCTGCCTTGTTCAAATGCTAGGTTTTTCATTTGAAGTGTCTATGAACAACCCCAAATCTCCAAATAAAGTTCAGCTGGTCTAGTCTGCTTTTCCTGGCATTTTTTTTGCTTTCTAGCAGAGGCCTGAAATTTAAATGGTAGCAATTCGAATGTGATCGGCTAATTCTGCACACAAAATTTCCCAGTTATATGATGGTGTGCATTCTTGTGCAAACATATTACTTCAGTTATTTATACTTGTTTGGAGATGACTTTTAAGTTGTAGAGGTTCTAGCTGAAATTAATAGTGGAAAAAGTGATGAAATGATTTATTTTGGTCTCATTGATTATATCACAAAACCATGCATTTTGCGGGGTGTGTAGACATTATATATCCACCGTTGGCTGTTTGACACACTGAAAGATATTAAAGATATTTGAAGTGACAATACATATTAGATACAAGCAGAAGGTTATGACTCATACACTGAGAGGACTGAGTTGGCCCTTTGCCGTGCATATCTGGATTGGTCCTTGTCTGTTTTCAATTGAGAAGACACTGTCTCTGTTGTCACGGTAACCAAAACACTGTCAATCGTCATTTGTCCCTGAATGATGATGTCACATCATCCCATCAAGGGCATCTCAATTTTTAATTTGGTGGTCTGGTTTTAGTAAGTAGGTAATGGAATGTTTTTATTGGTGATATTGACATATTGATTTTGATTGATTGACTGTCATATAGGCTGATTTTTACAGCAGTTCCTTTGAGGGTTTTTTTTTTTTTTAAATTATGAGACAGATCAAGGCCCCA